AGTTTTTCTTTTTGCAGCTACCGGTAGGGGTACATAAATCCGCGTGAATGGGAGGGGCGGTGACGTTAAGGGAAAAAATGGCAACACTGGCGATCTGACTACCCATCGAATACTTAGTGTTTGGCCACATGTATTTTATTAATAATTGCATGCATAAATTTGTATAAATCATTCCTTACCCCGTTTTGTACTACGTGGCCATTTTTACCCGATTAAAACAGTATGTTCACATGTGTGACTAGTGACGTTATCATAAAATAATAATAAAACACCGCGTAAAAAATGCATTTATCCCCTCCCCTAGAACAACCCACAAGTAGGATACACTTTAGATTTTATTTAACGGTACCCGTACACGTTTGGCCGCTCTTCTGGCAACCTCCAACAATTCCCCACCGTTTCTGACAGTAATGTTAACACTATAATAGACCCCATAGAAAAAATAAGTGTATACATATATATTTATATTGATGTGGTTTCAATGCTCAGGCGGTGGTTTTTCGATTGAAATAGTTTCCAGCTACGTTTCAACATAGTATGTTAACTATATTTTAGCGATTGTAGTCAATTAAAAAAATAAATAAAAATCCAAGGAAGAGTTGAATAATTATCGCGACAGTATTGTAATCCTCGATTTTAAAGAGAGATACTAATATTTTTATCATTAAGTACTTTTATTATTTTTTATTCACTTCAGTTTGTTATCTTAGATAAAAAATATATTAATAATTTATGTATTTTAATTTGACATGTTTTGCCAATATTTATTATATATGAAATAAATGTGTGGCCAAATCAAACTTTTCGCCCCACCAAAAACTAATACGTATCAAAAACAGTATTTGCATTACTCACAATTTACCTACACAACTAAATACAAGAATATTATAATATATACTTTTAACGGGTTTTGAATATTCTCAGACTTTATTTCTAGTCGCTTTTTATTTCCCCTCGCCGATCATCTTATCACTTTTATATTCAAGTTCGGTAATCGTACGAAAAAATTCAAACGATAATTTTTAAATTTCGCCATTTTAGAGTCATACATTTATGTTTGTCCTGTAAATTTATACATTTACAGGACTTTATAAACAAACAAGTATTTGTTTATCACAGGTGTTTATAAAATACAATTCATGATAATATAGTTTTATAATTCCACTATTTTTTTTTCTAACTTCTACGTTATACACTTTGGGGTCACTCTATGAATCTGTTTGCATTACTACAAAACTAGATGTTTACTCTCGTTTTTGTATATGTATTTATATATCTATTCGTTGTTTTAGTATTCATGAAATTCCGGATCCCTAGTGAAACCCATACGAAATAAGTTTGACAGGAAAAAACCTATTCTTAAATATTTTACCTGTAATTAAATAGTAAAATGTCCTATCATAGTATTTATCCTTCAAAGATATGGACTTAAGACCATATCTTATGTCAAATCATGCATTACAATGTAACATTATTAATGTTACATTTATTTAATCGCTATTGTAAATGGCGTTTAAGAAAATACATACTCTCTCGATTTTCATTCTATCATTTCGTTCTCTCTTGAGGGCTTGCGATATAAGGAGCTAGTTTTGAGGTTAATGGTTATGTAGGAGCATACATAGCCCACATCAGAATTTGCAGATTTAAAAAATATATTTAAACAGAATGCTTAAAATATGTTTTTTTCAATCGCGTTTAAAATATATTAAAATTATATATTATTATACTGAAATTATCTTTTTCTCGAGTAATTTTTTATTTTTATTTTCTCAGTAAGTTGTATACAGGAAAAGAGATGATGAAAAATCATTTAGGTATGTTATATAGTAACTGATGCTTAGAAGTTGATGACTTTTAAATATTACAAAAATGATTTTAAATAGTTACAATTACTTAAAAAATAGTTTTTTTTTATTATCTACTAAAAAAATTTAAAATAATAAGGCAAGTGTGAAAAATTACCTAAAAGATAAAACAAAAAGAAAAAAATTTGATTTTTATTTGCAAATTTCTTAGAATAAAATTATATATTACTTAGCCTATTTTTGGTTCATTAAAAAAATGCGAATTTCTCCAACTTCCGAGCACTAATAACATATTTTTGATAACTTGTTTAAATCATGCTTTAAACGTAATTTAAACACTATTAAAAAACAGACATTTTTTTAAATTAAAATAAACATAATAAATCAATAAAAATAAACAGTTGTTTTGTTTAAAATGAAAAAAATATTTTTTTTTCTGAACCCTGATGTACTTCATGACGGTTTTTATTCCTTTTTTATCTGTAACGTGAACTTTGAATGAACAGTTTAGTGTAGTTGCTTCCTTATCGCTTGTTATATAATCGGTAAAAAAAATTATTATAAAACTACAATCCATATATTCACAAGATAACATTCTATTAAAACATATTAATTATCCAAACAAAAACCGCCACTTGGCATCCAAATGGATTTCGCCCATCCCTAAGGTCCACACGATAAGTCCTTATCGCACTTGTATTCTGATTAGATTAAATAAAAAATATTGCGGTTCTCATCTCTTTCCCTAACCACAGGCTCTTGATGTAATAATATTTGACCCCATAATTAGGTTACAATAATCTTACTCAAAAAACAACCAACTATTTATTATTAAGAAAAAAATTGTTATTAACTTCTTTCTTTAGACATCTTAGACATGTTACAGTTCTTTGTAGTTAACTTGTTCTTTGAAATTTGACAGCCATGTTGCTATGAAATATTAGTTTTTTTATTCAAAATCATATAACAAGTATCAAAATAGTATAAAAAAATGTTTTAAAACAATATTTAAAAATTATATGTAATTATAAACTGTTGGAAATAATATAAAAATCTGTCGAGAATGACCAAATTATTGATATACAAATGTTACTACTTTTATAATAATTAATTTTTTTAAATGTTTATCATCATTGAACTCTTATGTTACTAAACGTAATTTTCAATAACATAAAATGTCCATTTAATTAGAGGTGTAGGTTTTCTCATCTAAGGTATAACTGAATAATAAAATGTATTTATAGTTGTTATAAGGGTCGTTAAACTGCTTACGTGTCATTAAATGCATTTTTTTTAAATTTCGTTTAGTTTCTTTTATCATCTATTGTAACTGTCTTGGTTAAATAGTCATAATAGTGTGTTTAGTGTATTCGTGTTGTAAAATGTTTATTCAACGTTCTTAGACTTCTGTATGTCAACGCTATATGTGTTATTTTATTCAATTTTTACAGAAAATAACTTTTTTTATTATAATTTTCTTTACACTTTCTAATATTTTTAACTCACCACAAAACTTTTCCTACCATGCCTTATCATTTTTATGACTTCTTTAAGCTGGTTCATTTTGATTGTTTCTTAATGTGTCTAATGATCGCTTTAATTTTATTGCAAAGGTATTTCGAGTAATCATAACGTTAATTGTGTTGTATTATAATCAATGACAGCGTCTTATTACAAGTCCGTTTGATCAGCTGTTTTTTTTATACCCTCTCTCAATATTTTAATTTGATAAAATATATCGCTGGTGTCAGTTTAATTGCGGATAATAAATATATATGATTTTCATTTTATACGTGGCGTGATAATATTTTAATTTCTGGTAGGTAGTTATGAAATTCACTGTAATTACCAGCATTTAACTTTCTAACCCCTCGTACCTATTTTTCATTTTATAAATCTACAAATTAAAATTAATTTTACCGCCGTTTTTACTACATAGTACCAATGTATTTTGTGGAATGATATAGTATTAATATGATATTAAATGTTACTAGAAATGATCCGATTTTCGTGAATAATGAGGGTTTGATGACCCGATACTTATAAAAACCTTATTAGTACAATAATATTGTTCAATAATGTACAACTAAGTAACGATGTGCTATTAGTTCAAAGTAAATGTATTATATGACAATCACCAAATATTCTTATCGTATTTCGTAACCATTTAGACTGTCATGGTAATGTGTAGTCAATTCTGTGACGAGTAATAATGTAATTTTTATTTACCTACTTAAATAACTTGCTTAATATAAATGCATCTTCTTAGGTCAAAAGGAGTATTTTTGTCGTTAAAATATTGGTTTAGATCTATAAATATTACTAAGATTCTCTTTGCATTGAATATTTTATAAATTTTCTCTTCGGTTCTTGAAAATCTATTAACATTAACATTTAAATAATAATAAATAATACAATTTATTTTATTATTAATTCGTTTGAAATAGATTTTTAACTATCAAGTTTTATTTTGCGAATTTCAAATACCTTCTTTTTTTTACTTTGTCAAATAATTATATATGTTTAATATTATATAGAGTGATGAGGGGTAATTGTAAACGCATTTCTTTAGATAAATGTTCAAGTTTTATTTCATATTTACATTTAATACGGTAGCAACACGCATAAGAACCAGAATTGTTCAATCTGAAATAAAATTTACTAAATATTCTAAGACAAAAAATTAATTTACTATTAACCCATTCGTTTATATTTACTCCGTTTCACCCTAATATGTATAGGGTTTTCAGTACGTAAGGAAACTGGTTTCTATTGTTCTTCTATCGTTTGTAACAATTGACCTCTTACCTTACTTTGTGAACATTCTGTTTATTATAATTATATTAGTTTATTTTGACAGTCTATCATAGTTTTGCTCGTTGAATTTACTCACTATATATTAAAACGAGGCTTGAAATATAATTATTATTTATAACTCATGCGTTTTTACTTTATAAGACATTTCAACTATCTATTTCGAAGAACCAGCCCCCCTAGGTTTACACAACTGATTTTATTTAATTCTTATATCAAAAATTTTAATATAAATACATATTTTAGATGTATATTCTATAAATTATACATTCATATGATGTATAAGACTGTTAAGCTTTTTCGATTAAAAATATTGTTGTTTTAATTTAAATATTAATCTGTAAAATTTGTTTTAATATTTTTACATGTCATTTGCAGGAAGTGAAATTGAAAGACGAACGATACATTTAAGCTGTAATGATATCTTATTAGGCGCGTAGTGAATCCTTACACATTTTATTTGATTTTGCACCACAGTAACCATGTCACAAAACAATAGCCAATCTCAAAGGTTCTGTCTTAGATGGAACAACCATCAATCCAATTTGCTCGCGGTTTTCGATCAATTGTTAACTAGTGAGGCGTTTGTGGACGTTACATTAGCTGTTGAAGGGCAAATGTTACGTGCACACAAAATGGTTTTATCAGCCTGTAGTCCATATTTTCAAGTACTTAATTATTACTATAATAATTATTTATTTTTATGTTATGCGTTATTTAAACTCGATTGTGTTTTTATTTTAGACCCTTTTTGTTGGACATCCAGATAGACATCCGATAGTGATACTCAAAGATGTACCTTTAGTTGATATGAGGTCTTTATTAGATTTTATGTATAGGGGCGAAGTGAGTACTTTACGAATTGAAACGAATTAAAGACTTTTTCTAGCAATAATTTCATTATTAGGTTAGTGTTGATCAAGATCGACTTGCTGCTTTTCTAAAAGTAGCTGAATCCTTACGAATTAAAGGTCTTACTGAAGTAAATGAAGATCGTGGCGATCTACCATCATTAGCTTCTTCCCTACTTCAGTCTCACTCATCATCTCCGTCCTCTTCACCTGTACACAATAATCAAATGGTTCATGTACCTCAACTACAACGTATACATAATCACAGTCCAATGTCTTTAAAAAGGCCTTTGCCTTCACATCCACTTCATGATCAACAACGCCAACAACTCTCCTATCCAATGAATCCATTATTGGGATCTGCTCTAACTGCACCTAAAAGAAAAAGAGGGCGTCCTAGAAAACTTTCTACTGGTAGTAATTCACCTTCCAGACCCAGTGACAATAATAATGATGATAGCAGAGCATCCACACCAATTGGCACAAGCGCGGGTAAATTTTATTGTAAAAAAAAAAAAAAAAAATTTGTCTAAAATATGTGAAATTTTTTAATACATATATATGAATTATATAATAATTTAGGAAGTGGTCGTGATCCACCAGATTTGTTAGAGTTAAATATGTCTGAAGAATCAGAATCTGCTGCTGCTGCACCTAAATACTATGATTCTCCCAAAGATGAAAATACAATTGAGGATGAAGAAATGGAAGAAGAATTTGTTGAAACTGAAAATGGAATAGTAATAAAACAAGAGCCTAGTGATCCAATTCCAGGAACATCTCAGGGTAATTTTCTTTAAAAAAAAATTAACAGAAAATGTAAATAATTTGCTTCAATAATTTCATTTACATTGCAGACTTAAGCACTTTGAAAAAAGATCACGACTCTCAGTCCAGTTTGCAGTTAGACCAAAGTGTATGTGGTAAGTAATCGGAGTACAGATTATTAGTAATTTGTATAGAATGTATAACAACTATGAATACTTTTTTTCAATAATTTCCTCAAATATTATTTTATATATATATATATACATATATATGTCATTATGACTTGTTGTTGATCAACGTTAAAACTAATTTAGCATATTAACATCGGTTTTATTTAAATTTTGTATGTGATTTTTTATGTGTGATTACTTTAGTGATAGTAAATTAACAATCAGATGGGACACCTTCCTCTTTCTTTAATAATTTTACATTTTTTGTACAATTTTTTAAATAAAATTTATTTTTAATCTTTTATCAAATAACTTAGTGGATAAAGAATACAATGCTGTGTAAGAGAAAGGTTTCGCATCTGGTTTTTCTGGTTTGTGCGTTTAAATATAATTTTATTATCAATTATCAAAGAAAATTTTAAGGCAATTTTTTAAAATGGACATTTATTTTGATTGGCGATCAGGTAAGTAGTATTTCCTTAAATATATTTTATTAAGTAGTCTTAAAATAATGGAGGAAAGTGACCCATCGTTTTGTTAATTTCTTTTCTAGGATGGGCTGATTAAACATTTTTGTAACTAATTTAGTAATTTAAAAATAAATGTATTACTAAAATCAAATTTCATAACATCTATTTATAGATTTTTTGGTAATTTTTCCAATCTTATTCATTCAATTTTTATTCTCTCTATTATTTCTGGACAAATATTTAACACTTTTTTTTTTTTAACACCACCTTAATTTTGATATCAAAATATTATTTTAAAAGTATAAGACTATTTTTAATTTGCCTATCCTATTTATTATTAAGTATTAATATGATTAGCATAGTGATTTTTAATTTATAGAATCTGAGCAAATATGTAGGTTGTCACTAGAATCAAATGGTAAAAATGACTCTGACAATATGGCTAACATTACTGGTCGACCAATAATGGATAAATATTCTGTGCGTCAATTTTGTACTCAAGAATCTACTAATTTATTTAGATGTAAACTATGTCGTAAAACATATACACATATAAGCAACTTTTGTCGTCATTTCCTTTCGTCTCATCATGGTGTAAGGCAAGAAATTCCATGTCCGGTTTGCTTCAGAATGTTTACTAGGCGAGATAATATGTTGACACATATGAAACAAGTGCATAGACTATCAGCTCCTAAAGTTTATTCCACAAACAATAATGTAGGCCCTAGATTCAAGTTTAACAATTTGTGAGATATGAGTAACACATTGTTATTATTGAGTGTCTTGACTATCAATCAGTATTGGGAATAATAATGAGGCAGACATTATCTCTTTTAAAGTACATTTTTAATATATTGTGCCAAAGTAAAAGTTTAATATAATGCAATATCTTATATTTGATTGAAATTTATTCATGTTGTGTACTTAATGTTCTAGATTAATATTATCATGGGAGATATTATATTTTTTCTTAGGCAGTTATTATTTTATTACATAGTTTTGACTCGTCTCTTAATCACTATTATTTGCTATCTGTTTTGTAAAACTCCTTCCAAACTAACCCGTCCAATTTCTTAATTTTAATCAAATACTTGGGTTGTTATTTTATTTATTATTTTTTTTTTAATAATATTGGTCAGATATACTATTTTTTAGGAATAATAATAATTGTTAGGGAGCCCTAATTATGAGTATTTTTTTTTTTTATCTTTAATTTAATTATCTTAACTTATGACTATATCTATTTAAAGAAAGCTTAATTATTGATAAACCAATATTTATCTAACTCATGTGTATATTGATTCTGATTCTTACATTAGTTATATTATTATTATTTTAAATTTATCAAGTTTTTGTATAAAGATGTTGGTGTAATCTAATATATATAACTATATTTTCATAATAATTCAAATCAAGCTCTTGTGAAACATAATTTTAGACCAGTAGAACTGTATTTTATTGTTTTTGTTTATACCTAATTTTTAAGTTGGGCTGTGTGTTTTCTTAGTCAATTTGTTATTAATTCTGTCGTCTTGCCATTATATTATAAAGTTAAGTTTTAAGAATATATAATGTTGTTAATGTAGATTTGTTTACTTATCTATACATATATTAATTATATTTATGTTCATAATTACTATTATAATCTATAGACTGCTAGAATGGGTGAACTTAGTAAATTATTAGTTTAGTAATCAACGGTGCTTTGTAACTTTTGGGGAAATAACAAAATGATATATATATATTTATATATATATATATATATATAAATACTGAATGCTATTACTAATTTTTAATTGGCTGTGAAAGCTAAAATGTTAGTAACATTTTTGTTGTTTGTTTTTTTTTGGTTTGTTACATCGAATTTGAAGAATGACTGAATTAATTAAGTATCTTATTTCAATACAATTGTTTATTTTATTTTTTTTTAATTAATCAAATTCATTATTATCAATTATATGTGCCCTACATTTTTCTCAAATTATAAGTATATGTTGACAATTTTATTTTAATATACTGGCGTTCTATAAAAATTTGTTAAACTATTTATGTAATTAGTAAAATTTTCTGATAAAATATAATGTGATGTGTTATTATTTGATGTTTTTTTATTCTAAATCATTATTAAAATTATTGGTTAATGTTAATTTTTAAATTATTTTTTCATAGGTTAAGAATTTTTTTATGTTGAGTGATTAGCAAGAGCGTAACTGAGAAATGTCTAATATTAAAAATAATCATTAATTGTACCTCGACCCCATTTTATGTTTTAAAGTCTTAATAACTTTTGAAATACTAGTTTAAAAGTAGTTATTCATCAATTCATTTCATTGTTAGTTAATTTTCTAATATTTAAGCTAACCAAATATGTATTTTTTACCATTTAAATACCTCAATTTTGTACAATTTTAAAGAACAAGATGGATAGTTTAAACAAAAAATATTTTTGAAATTTATAGCATAGTGGGTACTATACGCTTCTGAAAATGAAAAATTATGTTTTATTTTTAACTCATTTATCAGAGCTTAATGATATGTTAGGTGTAGCTAAATTAATTCTCAATTCAAAGGTAAGGTAAAAAAAAATTAGAGAAAACTATTTGCTACACTATGTAATTTTATTTTTATTGTTGCTTAAATGAAATATATGGTAAAAATAGTAGTAATCCATTTCAAAAAAATTTTCAGTAAAACAATAACAAAGTTATAAATTTCCTTTTAAGATTAAAATAAATATGTTTTATTATTAGAAAAATAAAAACTAAATGGAATTCATTACTTAATACTGTTGCTAATAGTTTATTGAATATAACCTTAATATCAATATTGATAAAATATAATTTTACTGTTTTTCCTAGTACTACCGTTCATATAATTTAAATTTTACCATCCTCCATTTAGTTTTTTTTAGTTTTAGTTATTAAAAAACTCGACATAGACACTGCTCATTAACTCATACCTTATAGTACATTGTGTGCACCACATACCAAACTTTAAAATGAATAATGTATTTCGCCGAAGTGTAATATATTTTATTAACAAGGTATTCCAGTTAATCATTTAACTACTGTACCCAACATTTAAAAATTCATCTTCTTTGAGCTAATTGATGATTTGCCATAGTGTCCCATAATTAGTGTACTTCATCATTATTAGTACTATATGCTTTTATAAATTTTGTTTCAGCCACTTTGAAGGGTCCCAAGTTTGTGCAAATTTATTATAGAATTATATAATAGCATAGAAATATTTTCTGTTTTAAGATAAACCTCCCTAATCCCCCTATATTACAACCTCAATAACAACATGTTACTAAGTTATAAAGTCCATTGGTAAAAATTTATACGGGCTGATAGTGAGTATGGAATAACTTAACAAAATTGATAAATACATATAATTCCGTGCTGTAATCATTAGTGTTCAACTAATACCATTATTAATCATTAAATGCCTCATTTCTAGTATTAGAGTTTTAAATTAACCAATGAATTTCTTTGAAGCCTCTCTGTTTTTATAAGTTTTTCTTAATTAGATCCCTGATTTTCACATTATTATCCCTTGTTGTGGTATATCCATCATATTCCCACAATATAAAAAGGTCTACCATAGTAATGCTCAATACTTTGATATAGCATATACTCTGTGGTGCTACCAGTTCTATAGGGTTTACAAAATCTCAACTTCACCTTCAATATTTTACTCTGTTGACGACAAATTTCTCTTACTTGGTATAGAAGTTTAAGGGTGCATTCTATTTACAATCTACTGTGTCCATGACCTTTTTGTTCCAATACCGACAACATTAAAACTTAATTCATGTGTTTGGAAGTAGCCCATGCCTGCCAGTCCCAAAAGTTGGAAATGACTAGCTGTATAATAAACATGACATATTTTCACCCTCACTGAACGACTAGAGTCCGTGGGGTCATCATTTATGTGATCCTTAAGGATCTCTTGCGAGGTAACCATCCTCTTTTATTAACTAATACTTGTGCTACAGGTACTAAAAAACTGTCATTATTTTATTATTATTATTATTACTTTTCTTATTTTTTTTTTTGCTGCACGTGGAGTAACAAATCTTTCAATATGTGACAATTAGCAGGTGAAAATATTATTAAAATTTGTCAAAAATTAAATCTAGTAATTATTTTTTTTCTCAAGAGAACAACTATTTCAGTGAAATTTATTGTATAACATATTTGTCTTTTTTATATCATGTATAAAAATATTGGGATTGTTATGTAAAATTTATTTCATTTATAATTTGAAGGGCAAAGACAAAGTTAACTCCATTTTTTTCAAAGTTTTTTGGGAAACTGAAAGATTTAGACATTTTTAACATATATACCTTACCTATCAGTTCATTTTAAAAACTTTATTTTTGAGATTATTTATTTTTATGAATTTTTTCTTGTATTCGTTATTTAAATTTTAATTTAGAACCAAGAAAATAATATTTTGAAAAAAAATGGAATTATCTTTTTTTACTCAGAGACCTTTATTTAGAGTGTACAATACTGCATCAAGATGTAGTATAGGTAGCAATTGTAAAAGTGTTTCTTTTATTTATTAATGGGTTCTTTTTCTATGCTTTAAGATATTTTAAATTTTACATATGAAAATTTTGAAGGAGTTAATGTGTAATTAAAAAGCTTACATCAAAGTGCCATTCGAAAACATAATTAATCTTTTTTTTTTAATTACAATTTGAACATTGGTTTTTCCATTTTTTTACTTTCATAAAAAATTTAAATAAAAGAAATGCTCTCTTGTACTTTTTGTTTTTAAGAACATAGAAATAATGTTTGAGTATAAAACTCAAACACCTTGAGAAATATTAATTTTAGAATAAACCTAAAGTTAATATTTTACCCCTCATTAACACCTTTTAATTAAATCTTTAATTTCATCAATTTAGTTAAACTAAATAACTTTTCATTAAAACTACAACAAAATAATTATTTATTTTGTTTAGTTATTGCTAATAGACAAAAAATAAATTCTACATATTAACTAAAAATTTAGAAACATTTTAAAAAACAAAAATTTCATCTTCTTAATAACCCATTTTTATTAAATATATTAATATTCAATAATATAAAAAATAGTCCATACATTAGATGAAAATTTTATTTTATGTTTGACTATTTTTAATGACATTCAGATATTTAATTATTTAATGATATAAACTATTTATATTATTAGTACTTTCTATTACCATAAGTTAAAATCAAAATATTACTTTTGACCTGGTTTTGTTTTATTTTTATTTGTATATTTAAAATTAATTGTAAATATTAAATAAAATTACTGAGTTGCTTTTATCATAAATTAATATTTATATATTGTAATATTTTCAGATATGCATAATGCTAACATGCTAAAACTATTATCCCGTACAGATCATGACAATGTTGATGGTGATAGAGATAATAATAATGATGCTCGACTGACATTAGCTAGTTGGACAGCAGCAATGGTAGCAGAGCAAAAATCAAAATTCTCATTGGTTGTATCACAACATACCTCTAGTTACAAACCACAATTACTAGCTGCATTGGATGAAGAAAAAAGACAAATGCAAGAATCTTCTCAACAGCAGCAAAATCAGCAATCAACTGCATTAAGACCACCAGTTAAAAGACGAATAAGAAGAAGAGCAACATCTTCCAGTGATCCTGCTGAACAACTTACAGAAATGTCTGTACGTGGATTGAATCTTTTCCGATATGCAACTGTATCTGAAGGAATTTATAAGTGTCTAGAGTGCGCCAAAACAGATATATTGAAGACATTTAAAAATAAATACAGTTTCCAAAGACATGCATTTTTGTACCATGAAGGACATCAACGTAAAGTTTTCCCATGTCCGGTATGTGCTAAGGAATTTTCAAGGCCTGATAAAATGAAAAATCACATGAAAACAGTTCATGAATGTTATATGCCCAAAGCAATAGATTTTCCACAAGTACCATTTTTGTTGCCACCTTAAGTAAAGTTTATGTTGTTACTGTTTTACCTATCAATTTAAAACCACCAGATACGTGTTTAAAAAAACCGTTGGACTCATATTTTCCTTCCCATTTATATGATTGATTTATGGCATTTATATTTACATATGTTTATATTATTTTTTGTTATGCACTGACTATTGGTAACACATAAGTCTTCCAACTAATAATAATCTATGTGCTATTTTTGATAATTCTTGTTGACCATTTATGTTATTACTCTAGTTAAATTATATGCAAACTTTATATGCATATATTAATAAGTATTTACTCTTTTAATAAACTCAGATTTTTATTATTATTATCTTACAAGTATTCATATAATATCTATATTTTAACCAAAAACACTATTCTTCTATAATATTTGTTCGCTAATAATGTCAATATGTACTTGTATATATATTTCTACACACAAATAGAATAATACCCTAAATAGTACAAATTCAGTAATAGTGAATTTATAAAATTAATACCTCACATGATATTTGACAATACTTTATTATAGAATTAAAGTTTAATTCTTATGTTGTAAATCAACCAACCATTCATAAATAATTATAATTAAATATTCTTATAGTGACATAAAACATCAATTTTTTTTCTTAATTACAACTTTATAATACTTCAGGTGAAAAAATTAAAATATTTCGGTGCTTTAAAAAAATTTAATTTAGTTAATATATTATATAATAAGCTCTGTTCTTCTATATAAGAGCTTATGAGTAGGTGGTGTTGTGCAATATAATCCAAAAATTTGTGTTTAATGGGCTAGTTGTTTTTTTACCAAAATAATTTGTATTTAAGCTTTAAAAAAAATTAATCTGTATTCATCCACTCAATTACACAAAGTCGACTGAAATAGTTAATTTATATTTTTACTCCAAATAAGGCCAGTTAGCTATTGAGACTGAATATTTTACCGTAACTAAGAGAAAAAATATAAGTTGACTTTATAATTTTGAAAAATAGATTTTTCTTATGTTATATACATAGTAGAAATCCAGTTTCTTGGTTATTACATATTTCAATTGTAAAACGAAAGTTAAGGAATAATAACTAAAAAATTTTTATAATTAATATTATATTTTTATAAATAGTGTAAAAAATGTACAGAATATATTAACATTTTGAAGAATTACATATTTACAAATTTATATGTGAACGTTTATTTATTTTTGTTGTATAATAGGGGGTTAACTATAGACAATTAGTTATTATTTTTATTATGTTTATTAAATGTGCAATTCACACACTTTATCTTATTGTTTAAATTGTTTAATATAACTATGTTCAATTAAATCAATTTACCACACATAGTTTGTGGATTATCAATTTTCGTTAATTTACCATTTTAAAATGAATATTTATATTGATATTTTCTTAGATTATTTTGATGTGTTTTTTAACAAAAACATAGTATTCTATTTTTTATTATATATATTATTAAAAAATTGTTAATAATTGATTAACCACTGTTAGTTTTAGAGTTATTAATTATTTATTTATAATTTAAATGTTTTATTTTTAGTTTATAAACATAAATATTCATCTCAAACAATAAAATTGTTGCGTTATACTGTTTCCATTATTTTCATATTTTAGTTTAAATTATTACAATTATATTTTCCTTCAAATTTTAAAGTTTTGTGTTAACAATTGTTGTTGCTTTATTAGGTATTCATTTAAGGATTGTGTATTTTTTATTAGTCATTTTAATTTTGTTATGTTTTTCAAGCAATAACACATTTATTTTATTTTTCATTCCCTTATTATGTTGTTTTTTTTTCTTTTAATTTCACTATAAACTGTTTTCTTATTTCAGAAGGTGAGGGATTAGACAAATATTTAATAAATACCAAAAGCACAAAATTTGTAATATTATTAGTTTATTTAAAACAAATCCAATAAAAACATTTATGTAAAACCTGAAATGTTAATTTTAATTTTATAAGCAATAAATTAACAATATTTGGATAAATGTTTTTTTAATATAGCGAAATCTTGAAATTGAAATCATTCTTGATTTTTATTTGTAATAAAAAAAATCAAATAACAATTCATCATGTCTCCTTCCTAATCTCGACAATAAGTTAATGGATTTTATACAGATCATTAAAACATAGTTTCTTTTAATAAATATCTTTCCATTTTAAAACTTATATATTTAAAATAAATATGAAGAAAATATGATATATATTTGAGATGAATATAAGATTTTATAGTGTCAATGAAAAAAATCAAGTATTAAAATAATAATAGTCAATGTTATTGATAACAATTCACATAAAAAAAATTTAACAACATACTAATTATTTTTGGTATATTAATAAAATAATATGTATTAAAAAGAAAAAACATGATCTATTACGGTTCATCACTGTCATCACTAGAAATATAAACAATGGTAGCAGCAGAAGGTTCTTGAATAGACCCACATTCAACATTTACCATAGAATTTATCGAAACTGGCTCCTAATAATACATAATAAATTATTTTAATCTTTTAATGTAAACACAATTATTGTTGGTTCATTTACGTCTACAAGCCATAATAGCTCTGTCAATGATTATCATCACATTGTTTAATTTGTGTAATGTTTTAATAAGTTTTTTACATTTGAAACATAAAAAAAATTTAACCCTAATTAATAATTATAGAATTAATCATTTCAGAAATTGCAACAAAATATAAACAAACTTTTTCTAACAAGTTTCAGGTAATTTATTATACTTTAAATGGAACAATATGAATATATCTTCCATATTAATTTAATAATTTATATAAATATTCCACTATTTTTATTATAAAAATTAAAAGAATACTTAACAAATATAAAAATAGAAATATTGCTGAATGAATACATCTACCCTTATTTAAAAAAAAAAATGAATTCAAGACATTTTTTTCACAGTCAGACAAGAATGGAATCTCAAAAAATAAAATTTATGTGTCATTACATTATAAGGCATAAATTTAATTATTTTCGATTTGGCCATGAAAGTTCTAAAGTGGCAATATATGCATTGCCTGCACACAAATGATACAAGTAAAATTTTGGATAAATAAGGGTTATAGGTGAAATAAAAGAGGAAACTAAATGATTTTATGTAGCATAATGATAAGTTTTTAATTTTAATATACCAACTGTATAGCACATCAAAATAAAGAATTTTTTATATAATTTCTGAAACAGCTTTTTGCTTATGAAATCTAAACTTATTTTTTTAATATATCAAAATTATTGAAATTTTTGAGTATTTCAAGATAAAAACTTACCTCTTCAATTTTTTCCAACATTTTTTTGAGACAAGAATTTTTGCTAGCCAATTCTTGTATTTGAAATTCTTGACTTTGAATAAAATGCATTTTCAGATCAAAATCAGAACATGATTTCATCCATCTCTAAAATTTATTTCAATTGCTGGTTAATTTAAAATAAATATTGGAATGATTTATAAAAACAATAAAAGAAACTCTTCTAATGATGATAATTAAAGGAAGATTAATTAAGCAGGTTAAAAAATATTTTGTTTTTTTATATATATGAAAATATTAATATTTGTATTAAATATATATATCATTAATTTTTATCACAAAAAAACTGAGAATATGTTTTAATAGCATAAATACTTACAGATCCATCAATACTAACAGGTTCATTGGTATAGCATAAATTATTTAATGTATCATTTATTTTATTCACAATAGCCTCACATTCATTTACTCTATTATTCAGATGATTATTCATTGATAAAAATTCTAATTCCTTTTTTTTACAATTATCAAGTGCATTTTCTAATGATATAATTTTTTTAAATAATGAATCAATAGATATCTAAAAACAAATTGTATATTATTGAAAATATGTATTATTAATCAATATTTCAAAAACAGGCATTTTTCCTATTATCACTAAAAAAATTTATTAATATTAACAATAGTGTAATAGTTATAGACACGTTGGCATAGTTTTACTCATAAATAGTACTATGAATGGTAAATTAAATTTTTTTTAAATGAGTCTACATTAATCATTATATCTTATTAAAATATAATTCTCTATGATAATTAATTTATAGACGTATAGAATTATTAAAACAGTTGTTGAAAAATATTAAAAACTATCAGAGATTTTAACAAATTAACTGTTTACATTTTAAAACGGGGCTGAAAATAATAATTTATGCTTTTATTAAAGTTTTTTTAAATTATTTTGTATTTTTATGGTGATTATTAGGAATTGACAATAATTATTGAATATTGATACAATTTAGATATCAGAAGTTTTTTTGGTAAAATTTCGATAATGAAATTTTACTATTATCAATATCATACTTTTTATTGTAAATTATTTTTATACTACTTAATTAATTAACAATAAAATATCTATGACACAAGATATAAAAATAAACTATAAACTTGATTTTTGCCTAACTTTGTACTCACATATTGGGGGGATTTGTTTTTTTTTTTTCAAATCAAATTGTATAGTGTTTTGATATAGATATACTAGGTAAGGTATGACAAATCCAATAACCATTTTGCTATCATGTTTTTTTTTTAATTCTTACATTTGTAGACTACATTATAAGTATAAATTTTATTATTAGATTTTTCATATCTTTGCAACTCACCCTGCACAGAACTAAAAATTTATTTAATGCCAAAACAATGAAACTAACTGACCTGTGAAATACATTCATATTGATTGATTTTATTTGAATTTTGATTTAATGCAATAGCTGTAGAGCACAATGAGCAATCATTTTTGTGAATAAAATGAAGAGGTTGACTTTTTCCAATTATCTAGTTCAATTAGAAAATAAAATTATCATATTTTACAATTATTTATTAAACAATAAAAAAAAATTATACCTCATTATATTTATTTCCGTAGATAAATTGATATTCTATGTTACATCTAATATTCTTCATTTGATTTGCATAAAATGTTATGAAGTACAAACCATTTTTGGCTGGTGAATTAATCATCAATTCAGTTTCAACAACAACAAACTTTTCTAAATTGATATTATGAGTACACTCATATAAAGCAATCCAATCACTATACTTTGGCTTTAAAGACTAAAATAATAAATCAATTTTAAATGTGAAAACTATATATAATTAAATATATTTATTTTTAATATTACCACAGTGTTAAATTTATAGAATATTTGTATATTTTCCTCTAAAAAATATATTTTATCTAACACAAATGAAATACACTCTTCATTACTTTCCATTATTTAACTTAATAAGTCTAAAATCAAGTGTAAAGAATTAATTAGTAAACTTTTGATTTGATTTGATTTGATTTTATTGTTAATTATTAAAATAAATCAATTAACATAAAAACACAATTTACAATAACCATGTTGGATATTTATATCTTACCTATAAATATAAACAGAAGGATAAAAAAAATTTAATATATTTTTTTCTAAGTCTTCTTCTAAAAAAAATTAAAATATATAACTATAATTTGATAAAATATCTGTTAACATAAAGTTAAGTGTTATTTTGATAACCTATATACCGATATATTAGCCATACATAACTCGATAAATGGTTAAATTAATTAATAAACTTTATAAATAAAAATTTCGCAAAAAAAATATTATCAAATATTGATATCTTCGTGCTATTTTTTTTGTTCTTTAAATTATTAACAATTTTATATGAGAATTCTATTTTAGAAATCATAATGTTTAGTTTATTTATAAATATTTTATGTATCACGCGCTAAACTAAAATAAATAAATCGTATCTGTGGCCTACCATGTTTAAGGACTTTTATGTATCGTAATTCATTATCCAACATTTTTCAATAGGTATGAGGCCAATACCAAAAAAATTGAAGTAACCTTTTTTTTTTTATATGATTTTTACCTAAAATATTTTTTTAGTACAGCCGATGGGGAAGTGGAGATCCCGCTTAAGGACTCATGACTTATCTGGATCTGGTCATAGACAAACGTCTAAAGTTTGGAGCGAACATTACTCGTGCGGCCCAGCGGGTCCAAAAAGTCATGAATAGCCTGGCGGGACTCATGCCCAATCTGGGAGGTCCGAGAGAGATGCGGCGCAGACTATTAGTCACGCGCCGCCGGGCATGAGCTCCGCCGAGAACGCGGCCGGCCCCTAGAACCCGAAGACCGGCTGGCGCTCAGGCGGGATAACCATGCTCCGGTGGCGGACTCGCCTCTCGGAGGAAACGACGAAAAGCGAGTGAACCATGTCCCTCATAGGATCCGATCGGCTGGACAGTGGGTGGACCGGACTCGCGATGAGATGACTTATCGTCTTACCCAAGTGATGTCCGGCCACGGCTGCTTTAACGAGTACTTGCACCGTATTCGTAAATTAGCCGCACTAACGTGCGACCACTGCTCGGATCGCCCGGGAGAGACTGACAGCAAGGCGTGGGCCCAGAAGCGGGACTCTTTGGAATCCCGACTAGAGTCCATTAAACGTTCCATGATANTAACGAGTACTTGCACCGTATTCGTAAATTAGCCGCACTAACGTGCGACCACTGCTCGGATCGCCCGGGAGAGACTGACAGCACTCTGCAGACTCTTTTCCGGCGCAAGGCGTGGGCCCAGAAGCGGGACTCTTTGGAATCCCGACTAGAGTCCATTAAACGTTCCATGATGAACCTGATGTTGGTTAGCCGGGAAGCGTGGTTGCTCATCCAGGTTCTTGCAAGTTTGAAATTGACATCGTTAAATAGAAAATTTTATGAGAATAAAACAAATTGTATTGTTAAGATTAATATGCAGTCGGGAAATTTTATATATCTTACTGTTTACAGTAAGTTTATCAGAAAAGCTCAATATTTTTTGCATTTTTATCGTAATAGATCACTAAAATAGAAATCATAGTAATCATTTCTAAGTAACTTTTGGTGTTTAAAAAAATTCTACAATGAAAATATCCAGAACTGAATTAATTTCAATGATATACTTTAACTAAAAAAACCGAACCAAAAAAAAGTTGTTAAAAAGATCTACTCAATAGAGCGTTTTATAAAATTTGATTATAATTGTAAAAATCCATTGTTAATAATCATATCAAACTTGATCAATAAATACTTTGAAAATATTAGAAATGATTTTATTTGTATGTATGAAGAACATGTATGGATAAGTAACGGTTTAATTGATAAATTAGACTTTGTTTTCAATTTTTGAGGGTAATATCTTCAACTAGATACGAATTGTAATCATTTGACGTATCGTTGAAAAAAGTAGGACAAGTGAGAGTAAAGAAAATAAATGATAGTCACAAAAAAATACCTTCTCAACTTTGCATCGAAGCTAAAACCTAAAATATAGTAAAATAATTTTGATATGAATAAGAAATTTCTTCTCACGAGTGGCGACTACAATGATGGGATCCTTGATCTATAAAAATCAAATAATTAATTTATAATTTAATTAATTAAATTAATAAAATTGAATAAAAATCAAATGAGTTGAAAAATTATTTTAACTTAAAAAGAAATAAGAAAAAATGCAAAAAGTTAATTTTAAGAAATGTGTGGATTATTCCAAAATTAACTCCAATTTCCTTAATTATATCCTGATTAGAGGTTCTTTAATTTAAAAGTATAATATATGAAAAAATAATAATTATAGTAATTAAATTTAGTATGAAATTGATATTCAATAATTTAATATTGTAATTTTACGGAGATATTATAAAAATAATAAAGTAGTTATATATTTCTTTACTTTTAACGCATTTAAAAATTTAAAGGGCATGATGCAATACTTTTCAATAAAAAATGTTTGTTACTTGTGAATAAATATATTGGATTACAAGGAACTTTCACCAGAAGTAAAAATATACTTTTCTAAATCAACATTTCGTTCTGTTTTCAAATGCACATTAGAAAAAGTCTAATTGCACAATTAGACTTTTTCTATCACTTCAAAGTTTTGATATCATTACTAATTTTTAAAAATGAGAATTTACATAAAAAAAAAAAATTCAAACAAGAAAAACAATTGTTTTTAAATTATTATTGATTTTGATTTTTAATATATTAAAAATAATTAGTGTAAAATTACATATTGACCTATTTTTTGGTCCTTAAAAATTGTTTTTGTAAAAGTTTATTATTATTATAAATACAAGTTGAACTTGTTATCATAACTTGTAGTACAACTTGCAAGTTTGAAATTGACATAATTAAATAGAATATTATATTAGAATTAAAAAAATGTTATTGTTAAGATTAGTATGCAGTCAAGAAATTTTATGATTACTATTTACAGTATATTTATCAGAAAAGCTTAATATTTTTTTGCATTTTTATTGTAATTGAGGACTTAAATAGAAATCATAGTAATCATTTCTAAATAACTTTTGGCGTTTAAAATGATTCTACAATTGAAATATCCAGAACTGAATTAATTTTACTAATTTACTTTAACTAAAAAAAAACGATCAAAATGTTGTTAAAAATATGTACACATTTGAGCGTTTTGTAAACTTTGATTATAATTGTAAAAATCTATTGTTTATTCATTAAATTCAGGTGAAACTAAAAATTATTTTTTTTAGAAATAATTAATATAGAAACATGTTACCAAAAAATGTGAAATATTAATGACTGGTAGTACACACACAAATAGAGTTAAATAATAATAAACTACAAAGTAAAATTATTTAATTTTGTAATTGAAACCTTTTATCATATCAAACCTAATTCGACAGTAAATACTTTTAAAATATGAGTGAGAGCTGAGGATATAAATGACACCCCCAAAAAAAACCACATAGTATAATAATTTTAATATGAATAAGAAATTTATTCTAACTAGAGGAGACTACAGTGATGGAGTCCTTGATAATCATTGAAGTTATTGAATTTAAATGATTTGAAAATTTTTTTCTAACTCAAAAAGGATTATGAAAAAAATGCAAAAAAATTATAGCCACAGGCTGGTTTGAACCTCAACCTCCAAGCTCGTAAGACTCAAGTTTTATCGACTCGACAACCGTTTGTCGCAAAAAAATTGCTAATTCAATTTTAAAAGTCATTTTTCTCAACTTAAAAGAAGTAATAAAATTTAAATAAGTATACTTTTTATGCTTTGTCAATTATATTTATATTATATTAATGAAAATCTATGTACTCCCTTTGTAAGGTGTTTTAAAATAAAAAAAAAATACAAAACCCAGAATTTTAACACAAATATAGCATATTTTTTAATACAGAAGTCCAGAGGTCAAATTTTTTTTTCAAAATAAAGTATATTACATAAGCTTTAATTGAAGTTATATATAAAAGTGTCAGTATTTCCGGAACATTTTAAAAATTTAAGTTGAAAAAGATCTATTTTCTATACGCATTAGTGTTGAGCAGAATTACTCTTGTTCTTGCGGTCTTGGCTTGGTCTTGCATTTCTACGAGACCAAGAACAAGACCAAGACTGTAATAATATCAGCAAGACCAACATCAAGACTGTACTCAATTGACAAGAACAAGACCAAGACTTTTTTAGCAAGACCAAGAACAAGAACAAGACTAGATTTGCAAGACCAAGACCAAGACCAAGACTGAGTTAGCAAAGCAAGACCAATACCAAGACTGAACTATCAAGAACAAGACTATGACCAAGACTTTGACAGTCTTGGTCTTGTTCTTGTTTTGCTCATCACTAATACGCATATTTAAGAATTTGAACCCCTCTTGTATAAAAGGAAATGGTCGGATTTAAAAAAAAAGTATATCGAATGAAAGAAGTATATATATAGTATTTATCATAAAAAAATAGTAATGATCTATACATTTTTTAAAAATTTATAGCAACATAAAGTTAAAGAATGTAAAATATAATATCAAGAAATTTTACACAATAATAGCATATTTTTGAATACGGCAGTCATTTTCACCATGAAGACAAGCCCAGAGATCAACATTTTTTTTTCAAATTAAAGTATATTACATATGCTGGTCAAATGTTCACAAAAATATATCAAATGATAGGTAAATACTTAAGGTATCGACAAAAAAATGTATGTTTTCATTCATCTATTTTTTAAAATTTAAGACAGTTTTAAGTAAAAAATGTCGAAAATTACCGATTTTTAAAATTGTATTTTTTTTAGAAATTTCTTTCATTAACGTGGAACGAGAGAATTTTTTTCAATTTTTGAGGGTGATGTCTTCGACTTTATACGATTTAACGTATCAAAGAAGTAAAAAGTTGATACCCTTATAACATATGAATGAACCAAAAATATACTTAATAATGGATAATGTAAGAATTATATGTAACTGAAAAATACAAAAAAAAAAAAATTCTTAATATTATTATTATTTTGCGATTTTACAATCTTAAAATTAATATTAATAGTACTTTTAATTTTTTACTTGAAAATCATTAATATTATTATTTGATCAATTAAATAGCCAAAAAAATTATATTTGTTGTATATTTTTATAGTTAAATAACTTATATTATTATTAGTGTTTATGAACAACTAAACTGAAAAAAATTCCTAGAATTTTCTAATGGCTATAGGAAGATTCAATAGAAAACTTACATCTTTCTTTCATGATATCTTTATAGTACTCAAAAATAGAGTTAGAATATTTCTATAACCTACTAATTTTATCAAAAGCATAGAGTGATCTATTTTTTGGGGTGGTTAAATATAATTTTTTTCTTTCCTAATTTTTTTATATAACAATGCATATTATTTTTGAAAAATTATTATTTTACAAATAATTAAGTGATTTATGATTCATAGATCACTTAGTACACATAGCATATAGCCAAAGGCGTAAAGCATTTAAGTAAATGTATTTGAATAAAAGTATTCAAATACTTTCATTGGTATTGAATAGTATTTTTAAATACATTTAATAAAAAGTATCTGAGTAGTATTTTAAATACAATTATTTAGTATTTAATACTGTTTAATATTCAGTACTATTAATATACTTATTTTTTTCTAATTTGCTAACCGTAACACAGCAAGCAAATTAAACTCAGTCAAAATGAAAATTGAGAATAATTCTCTGTTATTTTATATGTTACATTATAGTATAACATAATTATTGTGCTTATCTAAATGCTATTATGTATACATCTATTTTTAATACATCAGTTGAACCTACAATAGCCTATTGCAGGTTCAAATGATTTACTCTATTGTCAATAAGACATACTTTACAGGTTTTTACACGTGTACTAATATTTATTTTTTTCACTGATTAGTCTCCAATAATTAATTTTATTTACCTCTAACAAAAAATATCGAAAATAATAAATGAGTTCTCTTAATTTAAGAGTACTCAATATTTGACTCAAGTTACCCTCTTAGTAATTATTTAGGTGGAACCTTTTGCTCTTAGTTAAAATAAAAACATTATTATTATTTTTTAATTGTATTCTTAGTATTTGAAATACTTTTGTAAAGTAATTGAGATTACTCAAATACTTTTGTATGAAAAGTATTCAAATAGTATTTTAAATACATTTTTTTTTAAATATTTGAGTATTATTTAAAATACTTTTTAAAAGTATTTCTTACAACTATGCATATAGCATACCATTGAATTAAAAGTTTAATTTTGACTTTTTAGCGAAAAAAAAGAATAAGATAAATTAATTACACTCTCATAGTTCAAAAAAACAATACTAATAGACACAGGGTTTCGACTTGTAGTTGTCTTAACCAGGTGCAAACGACTAATAAAGCTGGTGGATAGATGCAAGCTATAAATCACATTAATAAGGCGACCACCAGAGTGCATATTTCTGACAAAAAAATAATTCTTTTACACCTAACACAATAAGATTTATTTACTTGAAAGTTGATATTAACTAAGAATCATAATAAAATTTTCTTTTAGTATTTTAAATTGTAATTTACACTTAAAAAAAAAACTTGCATGTACTGGTCATTTTTTTATTTGTACTTTTTTCATTGAATAATAATTAATGTTTTTTGCTTTGGTAACAATATTTATAAACTTAAAAAACTAAATAAAATTTAACTGGTTTATTTAATATTACAAAATTACTTATAAATAAAAACTCTTAAACTATTTAGACCCAGTATAATAATACTATATTTGAACTAAAATATAAAATCAGCAACAGGAACAATAACTAACAAGTCGATAAACAAAAAAAAAAAAAAAGTACAAAAAACAAAAAATATATAAACACAAAGGAAGAAAAATTAATCATAGCAATCACTAAGATTTTCACTAGAGTCGGTATCATCGACAAATTTAACTATTGCTGGAGAAGTAGACTGAATTGTAAATAATTTCATATGGGTAATAGCTTTTGCATCGTCAGTTTCACAAGTCTCATTTTGATATGTTTTTAACTGTTCTTCCTAAAATAATTGTAAAACAAATTATAATGTTAAATCAATAAATTTGTATGAAGGAATTTAAAATAATATTTTTTTCATTAGTAAATTAAATATCAATATATGTATCTTCAAATTTTAAGTAATGACATTACTATTTATTGTATTAATCATTTGTACAGAATAAAAACACAAATACATAGTATACAAAATTATGTAGATTACGATAGTAGGTTAGGTCCCAAGCACCTGTTTTATATAAAATTTTCTCAACAAGTCTAATAGTAAAATATCCATTTAAAAAATTTTTACCTATAGGGTATTTACACACATATAAAACACTATAGGTGCAGTTTATTAGATAAAATAAACATACATAATTGACTAAACTACTACAAGATTTTAAAAAGTTATATTTTTTTGTATATTTATATATATTTATACAATAAATAAAGAAATTTGAAAAAAAAAGAGGAAAACGGTAAAAATTCTTTATTTATCAAAATCAAGTAATTTTTTTTTTTTATTCTGATTTTATGGTCTGATCTAACAGCTCATTAACAGTAGAATTAAATAATAAAATCTATTTGATAAATAATTTTTTCATCATGCAAATACTAAAGCATCTATTTTTATTTTATTATTAAAGGAATAGAAATCAATAACTTTGTTTTGCTCTCATGTAAAATTTATAAAAATTAACTTTTACTAATTTACCTCTATATCTTTCATTTATATATACAATTTATAAATACTACTTACTGATTCAAAATTTATAGAAACAGGATTGATTAGTAAGTATACATTAAAAAAATAGTGAGAATATGGGAATACAACTTGTAATCACACTTAAAAAGTTGCACAATTAAAAAAACACAATCGTTCAGTTAATTATATTAAATATATTAGGTAATTTTACTATCTGAACATTTCAGAATCATTTGCTAATTTTTTACAAATAAATGATGCAACTACCACTTTATATAAAAAACCAATTTACTGATAAACTTTAAACAAAATTTGTTTAAAGCAAAAATTGAAAAATGTTAGTTAATAGTTAAAATTGAATACAAAGTGAATTGGAAAAACAATTAATCAATCAATAAAATGATTAAAGTATTACAAATTAATAATTTTTTTAAAATAACTTTATTATTTCATTATTTAAAATTTTTTAGCAGTCAAATTTTTAGCAGGAGTAGTATATACTATTGTTTTTTTCAAAAGAACCACTGCTTACAAAACAAACAAATTATAGAATACATTTCATTTAACTTACATTTTGAATAGAAAGTTTTGTTTTTAAATCCCTATTGATATTTTGTAATCTTTGCAATGCTTGTTCTTGGGTGTTAATTATTGCTGTCAGATAAACTTCATTTCGAATTGATTTGTTAGATATCATATGACTTTTTATTTCTGTAGTATGCATACGTTTAATCCATCTCTAAATTAAAAAAAAAACAAATACTGTATTTTAAGTAAGAAGTTTTAAATAAATAGCTTAAATACTTTAAAGTTTAAAGCAGTGTTTCCCAACCTCTTTAACACCACGGACCACTTTGGCAATGTTTTATAGGTCGCGGACCCCCTCAATTTTACAATAACTAGGAAGACCTTTTTTTGCTCATTAAAAAGAATACACAAAATTTATCAAAAAATGTTAATTTTTATTACTTTACTTTACATTTTATTACTATACTTAACTAATATATAATTATACTTTACTATACAAAATAATTTACTTAATGTGATTTTTGAAACTGCATTTCTTTGACCAGTTTTTCAATTCTCGGATGAATGTTGCTCATAGCTAAACGCATATTGTCACTTACGTCCAAGCGATTCCTCTGTTTATTTTTGATGACAAGTAGACTAGAAAATCTTTGTTCACACAAATATGTAATAGAAAATACTAGTCAAAACGCAAGGCGATTTCCCGAAGTTGAATATGTAATGTTGCCCTTCTGCACCAAAATTCCTCAAGGTTCATACCAGAATCAAACATAATTTTGCAGTCAGAGTCATTTTACAGTTCGATGACAGCTTCTTGAAGATATTCTAGGGCTTCTTCCACTTTTGCACAAAAAGAGTTACGAATAATTTTTTGAACACTGTTAACTTTGTTCCATTCCGGAAAGTAGTGAGAAAATTCAGATTTTAATTTTTCCAGGTGTTTTTTTATGTTCTGTTGAATTTTGATTCTAATATTAGCATATTGATCGTTGTTGATAAGAGTTTGGAAAGTCTGATATGCCGAATAAGTATTCTCGATTTTATTCATCCATAGATTGATTTTGCATACAAATGCGCAAATTTTATCTTCAAAAATAAAAATATTTGCTCTAAATTCCAAGGTTTTGTTTCCCGAACCTTGAAGTTGCAAATTAAGGTTATTTAAGTGTTCAAAAATATTTACTAAATAAGCAAGTTGTAATTCAAATTTCAAATCACAAAACTTTTCAAGTAACTCTGAATCCTTCTCGTTTAAAAATATTTTCATCGGTTGCGATAATAATATTATTTATAAATCTGATATCTACACACTTATGAAAAATACTATTATACGGAACCATATAATATTATACGGTTCCTCAATAAGACATAATTTTTTTTCACTATTTAAAAAAAATTATTAATTTCTAATAAAAATCGAAGAAAAAATCTATGGACCGCGGAACCCCTATGACTGGCCCGCGGACCCCTGGCAGCCGCGGACCACCGGTTGGGAAACACTGGTTTCAAAGTGATAGAAAAAATGTTTATTAGAAAAAACTACAAGATATATTAGTTTTTGTGATTTACAGTTTTGTTCATTTACCACTTTACACTTACCCCCATAAATGTTTTAAATTACCTAAAAGTTTTTAATGAGCACTTTTTACAGAAATTCAGATGAAGTATAAAAAGAAAACTAATAAGTACAAGACTTACAGAATATCCTTTAGAATTTGTTAGTTTTACTGGTTTTCCTTGATCAAGTGCACTATATAAGCCATCAATAAATTTTTCACCTCTAGATCGAAGCATTTCACATTCTTTCAATTTTTCAACTAATTGTTCATTTAGTTGCATAATACTTTTTTTACCTTCTTCGTAATCTTGTAGTCGAGCTTCTAGACATTTTAGACGTTTTAACACTGTATTTACATCCTAGGTTTTAAAATATAAGTTATATAACTATTATTGTTTCAAATTAGAATTATATAGAAACTTCTAAAACCTGGCCAATTTTTATATGTCCAATTAAATTTGATGAAGTTAGTTTTATACTACAATTACAGTCATTTTTATGCATAAACTCAATCGAAGAACTACTAGCTATGACCTGAAATTTTATATGTTTAAAATAAATAAATAAAATAACGTTATTTTTTAATACTAAATACCTTTAAATAAGAATTTACATAAACAAAATTGTATCTGCCAGAACAGTGGATATATTTAGCAAAAAGTTGAGGAATAAACTTGATTTTGAAACAACTACCTTCTATTCTTGGATGATCCATAACATATTCAAAAATTATTGGTTCCTCAAATCGTACATTCTCAGTTGGATACAATCCTATCCAATCTCTTAGCATTGGTCTTATTTTCTGAAAGAAGAGATATTAAAAATTAATTAACCAATACAATGCTTTATTAATGTTATTGTACAATAAAAATTAATACATTATATAATATAAATTTTACAGTTACATTTTAAAGTTAACACCAGTACAATGATCTGTAAAAATTGTAAGTTACTTTTAGAACACACATTCTTGGGAGTTATGAAAAACCTAACTAAAAGCATATCTATCAAGACAAATTAAAAAAAAATTAGTACAAATTACCTATATATAGCAATACAATGAATAAATAGCTCATAATTATTAATAACATGAACAAATTTTTATAGAACAAAACAGGTACATGAAAAATGAATGAACAAACAAAGTTAACATTTATTAACATTTATTTTTAAATACATTGCCATTTTTAGAGTTGTGAAGAGGTTAGTCAAAATTATATCTTATTTAAAAACTCGTTTCACACTTTATATAATAACTATGCAAGGTTAAAAGTATTACTGAATAATAAGTTTATTACAATACCTTGTGGTCGTAAAAGCAATCTACAACTAGAAATTTATCCTCTATAAAATAACGCTTATTTGTAGCTAAAATGACTGGTGATTTTTCCATATTTCCAAGTGTTTGTTTAAAATGCAACAAAACTGTTGTGTTCGTAATAATGAAAAAAAAAACTATATATGTATGTAACCGAAATGTTTTTTTAACAACTAAGATATCAACACTTAACACATTCCGCACTAGGACACTGAATACGGTTTATTTGTAGTCCATAATTTTTTATAAAGTTTATCTATAGTTGAAATATAACTACATTCTATACTGTACGTTTTATACGTTATCCGATAAATTTAACAGTTATTATATTTTATTATTATAAAATATAAATTTAGTTTTCGTTCTACCTTTTGGTATTTTTATAAATATCAATCCTATGTACAATTCTATTTCCAATATTCGTTAAAAAGACTTATCGTGTTTGATAAATCTTCATTTTATTGCTTCGATAATGATTGCATGTTTATCTGTTTTTCCAAATTCTATGGGACGGTATTAGCACGTGAAGTCAGACCGTGATAATGATTATTATTGTTAAAATAAAAAAAGGTAAAAACAAAATAATAATTTTAAATAATAAAGATTTTATTAGAATACATTAATCTGATGACTGAACACGATTTAAGTAATTGAACTCATTGAACAAAGGTTGGGTTTTCAATTATAGATACCTGAAATACATTCCATCTTTTATTTATAGATTATATTAAGTTATCATGGATAAGTATCTAGAAACCCTAACAACTAGGAATTTATAGATCCTAAGATTAATTTATTTTTACTCCTTCACGTATTATTTTGTATGTTATTACTTTAAAAATCTCACTAGATAAATTTTTTTTCCATAACACGAAAAACAAATCGAATAAAATTGAAGACATTACCCTCAAAAATTGAAAAAAATTCTCCAAATCCCAGTAAATAGGATAAATTCCCACCAAAAATACAATTTTTTTAAATCAGTAAATTTTTATACAATAAACTGTCATAGTTTCTTAAAAATTAAATGAATCAAAATAGTTTTTATTAATACATTTAGTATTCCCCTTACATTTGGTATACATTTTTTGAAAATGTGACCTTATACTTGCTCACAGAGGTATATAAAATAGGAACTTTTGTAAGAAAAATTAATTTTTTGTAAAAATATTAAATTTTAAATTTTAAATTCCTTAAACTTTTTGAAAATTGTTCGAATGAATACAATTTTTTTTATAATTTTCTAATACATATTCCTTTCATCCGGCATATATTTTTTTCAATCAAACCATTTCCCCTTAGACGGGGGGAAGTGAAAAACCTGAGACATACGTTTAAAAAATAAAACTTTGTCAACTTAATTTTTAAACATTGTTGCGGAAATACTCGTAGTTTCAAACATATGTATAATTAAATCTTATTATATTTACTATAAGATAATATACATATATATATACAGAGTGATTTTTTTATCATAACCCTGTATATATATTCTCGTCGACTTGTTTTTTGATATGTAAACAGTTTTGAAGTTAAACCAAAAAATATTATTTTTGAAAAAAAAAAATCAGTTTTTCACATTGTTATAATTTTATTTTGTTTTTTCAATTATTTATACTTTATTTCAATCAGTTTAACATAGAAGAGGGATAAGTACTTACTGTAAACCCTTCCATTTTATAAAAAATAAGTATATAACATTTAAGTGTTAGTTACAAATATGTACAGGGATGATTTTTGCAACTTTTTAATTCATTACACTTATCAGACTTTCATATTCTATATTTTACATATTTCAATCATTATGTATTGAACCGTGATAAAAAGGTTAGGTTTTTTTTTTTAAATAAGTTTGAGTTATTGCATAAAATATGGGGTAATTTATTATTAACGTCATAGAGTTTTAAATTTATGATAAATTTTAAAATTATGTAAATGTTATATCCTTTTCATTACGCTAATTTCTATGAGTTTATCAATCAACTGCATATTAACATTTAATACAGAAAAGTGTATAACATCTTAATATACTTTTAGGACTTTTAATTATGATATAGTATACCTATCATTAGAAGAATACATAGAACAATTATACATAAAAAAAACCAGCACAGTGGGGTGGCGGCACAGTGGGGTCGTGGCATAGATGGGACAAGTATAGATGATATTTGACAGTGATTAAAATCACTATCATAAGAAACGCTTCGATGCAAATCTGTAGATAGTGTTTCATTTAGAGAAATTGGTGGATTATTTCAAAAGCAACATCAACTCTTTGATTATATCCTAATTAGTAGTTNCCAAAAGCAACATCAACTCTTATTTCTTTGATTATATCCTAATTAGTAGTTCTTTGATTTTAAAATATAATATATGAATAAATACTAATTATAATTATTAAATTTAGTATGAAAATAAAAAAGTAAAAAAAATTTAATAAGTTTAATTTCTTATGTCTTATGACCTTTATTCTATGTCAATTAAATTATATAATATTCATGAAAGTCAATATATTCTCCTAATAAGATATTTTAAAATAAAATAAAATACAAAACCTAGAGTTTTAATAGAAAAATAGCATATTTTTGAATACGGTAGCCATTTGCACATAGAAGATAGGTCGTCGGGAAAATTTTTTTTTCATTTTATAGTACATAAAATAAGCTTTAATTTGATATATATTTAAAGGACGCAGTAATTCCGGAAAATTTTCTAAAGTTAAGTTGAAAATGTTAGTTTTTGTAAAAAAGTTACTATTTTAAATCCCCCCAGTGAGCAGAATAAGTGTTAGATTTTCAAAAAAAATTATATCAAATGAAAGGGAAATATCTAAGGTTTCAATACAAAAAAATATTATTTTTATTTGTTCATTTTTGAAAAAGTTATGGCAGTTTTAAGTACAAAAAACATCCCGATAAAAGGTAATTTTTATCGCAAACATTACATTTTTTTTTAATTTTCGACAGCCATTTGCACATAGAAGATAGGTCGTCGGGAAAATTTTTTTTTTTCATTTTATAGTACATAAAAAAAGCTTTAATTTGATATATGTCTGAAGGACGCAGTATTTCCGGAACATTTTCAAAAATTAAGTGGAAAAAGTTAATTTTTGTAAAAAAGTTGCTATTTTAAATCCCCCCCAATGAGCAGGTTAAGAGATAGATTTTCAAAAAAATGATATCAAATGAAGGGTAAATATCTAAGGTTTTAGTATAAAAAAAAATTATGTGGATTTGTTGATTTTTCAAAAAGTTATGGAAGTTTTAAGAAAAAAAAATTAAAAAGTTTCGAAAATTAGCGATTTTTAAATTTGTAATTTTTTTGGATATTTCCCCCATTTGCGGGGAACGAGGGAATTTTTTTCAATTTTTGAGGGTAATGTCTTCAACTAGATACGATTTGTGATCTTTTGACGTATTTTTGAAAGAAATCGGTCCAGTGAGAGCTGAGAAAAAGTGGCAACAGACATAAAAAAAAAAAAACACATCATAGTAAAATTAATACCTTCTCCGCTTCGCATCGAAGCTAATAAATTTATAGTAAATAAACTCAGTATGAGTATAATTTATTTTGATTATATCTAGTATATTAATGATAAATAGATTTTCGTGTTTGTTTTTCTTAATCCTAATGAATGTGTAGTTAGAAATTTAGTTATGGAGATCTAAAAGGATCACTCTCCTTACTTATTTTCTAGTGATAGGTAAAATTATTAGAGAAATACAAGAAGAGGTGCCGTGGCGCATCTTGTTCGCTGACGATGTAGTGTTAATAAGAGAAAATTAATCAAAGGCTAGAGGTGTAGAAATCAGCTCTTGAAGAAAAGGGTTTAAAAATAAGTAGGTGTAAGACAGAGTTATAGAGTATGAGTTTAACAAAGGAGAACACGAGGTAGGTGAAATGAGGAGTTCAGTGACAATAGGCGAGGACGTGATAGGAGAGGTGAAAAGTTTTAAGTATTTAGGATGAGTTGTGCAAAAGAGTGGTGGTATTGACAAGGATATAAGACACAGGGTGAAGTGTGGGTAGTTAAAGTGGGGAGAAGCGTCTGGTGTGTTATACGATAAAAGAATTCCAAAGAGGCTGAAAGTTAAATTCTATAAGACTGTAGTGAGACTAACTATGTTTTATGGTTAAGAGTGTTAGGCGGTCGTCATGAAAATAGAGCAGAGGATAAGAGTAGCAGAGATGAGGATATCTAACTGGACGAGTGGAGTGACAAGAGAAGATAAGGTAATGAACGAACATTTAAGAGAGTAGCGTCAATCGTAGATAAGATGAGAGAAAATAGACTTAGATGGTTTGGTCATGTTATGCGGAGAGAGGAAACAGAAGCTATAAGAACAGTTAAAGACGTTAATGTTAAAGGAAGACCAAAAAAAGATGGAGGGATTTATTTGAATGCAATATGAGGACGGCTGATGTGAGCGTAGATCGTGTAAAGTGGAAGTTTAGGATAAGTGTGCCCGACCCCAAGTAGTTGGAATTAAGGCGAGGAAAAAGAAGATGATATGATTTTAGAAAAAAAGGGTCCTGTAGTTCTTTAATATAGACGATATTAGGTTTAAATGTAAATTTTTTTATCAATGTATAATGTACAGTGTATATTATATACAGTGTACATTATTAAAATCGCACGAGGAAGAAAATTGTTGCATTTATAATGCTGAATAAGCATTATTAAGCCCTCTAATGTCATTAAATTTAAATTAATTAATTTCAACTTTTTGTTAGTCCTTAACTGTCAAAAATAATTCATATCATAAGAACCTAGATAATATAATAATAAAAAGTTATAATAAACTTTTAATAAAATCATACATTTTCCAATGAACATTTGTTGCATAACGTAGATTTATCAATAGATAGATAAAATATTTATTTTATAATTATTTTTTAAATAAAACATTTTAAAACGGATTTCATAAAATTATTTTTTTTTTGGCAACTATGAACTGAACAATATATTTAAATTTCTGAACAAATGCCGTAAGGTGGAAATGGAATAAAATTTATTCTCCCTATTCAAAAAAAAATATATGGTCAACGAAAATTCCAATAAAATAATTTAACATAAAAAAAAAGAATACATAATATAAAAATAAAACTATTAGTTTTAAACTTAGACGACTATTTTCATTTTTTTAATAATTCAGGCACTTGTAAATTTTCTATTTACTTATAATTATTAAAACTCTAAATTATTATTTAAACGAATAGAGTATTAACATATTTACACAAAAAAATGTTTATAGTTTAAAATCAATAAAACATTTATTTCATGAAGAATCTACAAAATCATTTAACATGTCAATAACTTCTTCATCTTTGTTGTTTTTATCTAATGTTTGTTTTAAATTATTAATGGGTTTTATATATTCTACTTCCATAGATACATCATTTTTATTAGTTTGTTGAGTTTCAAAATTGTTAAAGTTATGATTTTCTTCATTAACTTCATCTGCTAATTTACTTTGAAATGATTGAATATATTTTTCAGAGTTTTCTTCTATATTACTTTTTACGTCACTGCTAATTTTATTATCAAGTAAATTGTTTTTATTTTTAGAGTTTGATAAATATTTTGTAGGTGAACATCCTCTAATGTTGTCAACATTATTATATTCAGATTCAACAGAATTTTTTTCTGAAACTACATTGTTAATTTCAATTTCTTTTAAAAAATGACTTTGATTTTCCTGTAGTACATTTTGATTTTCAGGTAGCAACTCTATTTCATTTTCAAGTGGTAAAAATAATGTATCATTTCTTGGATGAATAATATGTTCAACTTTAGCAATAGCTGATCTGCATACTTCTTTAACCTAAAAAAAAAATAATTTAACCCTAAATAGAGAAATTCTTTTAATATAAATTCATAATTGAAAAATTTCGACCCACCCAGATTTTTTACTTTTACAAGCAAATTGGTTAATTAAATTCAATAAAATTATATATAAACGATAAAAATTACTATTTTCTTAGTTTTTAAAATAACTTTAAAAGTTTGTTTCAAAAATAAATAAATTTAATGGTACAAGATTTGTTAATTTAAAGCACACCGCTAAAATGTTCTTGATAGCTTGCCTGTAATTGGCTGTTTTGAATGTTACACTTTTCTTTTTAATCAAATGTTTAAAACTCATTTAATAATTAATATAGATAATTATTTTTAAGTATCTATTTTATTGAAATATTTAGTAATTAATTATTTTCTGAAATTTTGTAAGAATAAAAATAAAATTAGTGATAAAAATTTCTTTTTTACCAAACTCTTTAAATTTTAAAGAGGCAAAAACAAGTACTAAATATTAATAAAAAATAGTTCCTTAAATAAACTTTTAAATTAGATTAAAATAATTTTATTACAAACTTAACCATTTATTTATGGTTATTACATTTTAAAATATATACTACAAACTTACAATTACTTTGTTGTATGGATAAATATACTAAATAATTTTTAAAAATTATAAAATTTGTTTCACAGCTGGGTAATATTTGACATACCATAGGTGGCATATCAAAAACTAATCAAGCCAAACTTTTAATTAATAACATAAGGTATTTTTAATAATATTCAATTTTTTATAGTACATTATAGTTGTTAGTTATATCAATATAGTTATTTTATTAAAATAGTTAAATGAATAATATTTATTTTCTTACATTTTCATTTCGATCTGATAAACCTAAAGTGAATAATCGAATAGCAACTGATGTTTGAGTTACACATTGTGGATGAGGAGAAATCACAAGAGCTAGCAGAGTATTAAATAAACTCATTCTACATAAATCATTGTAATATGGTAAAGGATATTCATTAGGCCGTTGACATTTTACAACTTCCAATAATAACCCCATAATAGTACTTTGTAAAACCTAGAAATTAAATAATGGAAAATAAAATAAGTTTGAAATACTTTCAATTCTATAATACATACTTTAAATTGTAGTTGTTTAAGGTTTGATGTGAATGTGTTTAATAGTAATCGAATTATTTCATGTGCTTGATTACATATGGTTGAATTTGCATGGTAATTGTGCATCACAATTGTATCACGTTGATCAATAATTTTGGCATTTAATGCACCACTTTTCCTTTTTTTGTTACCAATTTGCTTGTTAACCTACACATAAGATATTAATTAGTTGAGTTCTCAAAATGATATTTATATTGTATTTCACAATATCAAAAATAATTTTTAATAATTATTACATATAAAAATATGTTATTTTGAATATCTGATGGATAGCACAGATATTCAATTTCGAATTTAAATCTCATCTAAACACATATTTACACGAAAAAAATTATTTCATTGTGAAAACAAAACTTATTGTTACTAATTCAATCTGATAAGTATGCAATGTTATTGTAAATATGAATTTGTAAAAGTATAGTTAGACATCAGTTAATGGGCTTGACAGCTATAGACTTAAATTATATTAAAAAATTAAATAATATTCAATTTTTATGCCATGATATATATTATATATCATGACATCTGTTTTTTTTTTGAAATTGCGATAGATTATTGAAGAAAATACTATAATACTGATGTTAATAATATATTATTTGAAAACCCTATTTATTAATGTTATTTATTTAGATTATTAGGTTTTTAATTTTTAGGAGTTTAGATAATACATTTTTTTCTTCAATGTAATAATATCATTGATTACTACATATCTGTTATTACAGTCGTCTAGTTATTAATTATTTAAATTTACATTTTTTTTAAATTAAAATTAATCATGTTAATCTTTAATGAGTTTAATATTTTTCAGTAAAGAGAGGTTCAAATATTTAATTAAGTTGTTATCATTTGGTTTTCAAATCTTTGATGGTTGTATTTTTAAATAGTAACTATAATGATTCATTAATTAAATAAAATTATTTTATATTGAGAGATTTAAACTTGATGAAATAGTAACATTATAGTAGTAAAATGAATTCCAGAGATATCATAAATAATAAAATAAAGAAATATTAAATAATTTCATACACATTTGTTTCATACAGAGTGTTCAGTAAGTCAGGAAACGGGTTTCTATTGTTCTCATTGTTACAAACAATGAGAACAATAGAAACCCGTTTCCTGACTTACTGAACACCCTGTATAAGTATTAACATAAATTAAAATGATAATATAAATTATTTATGATAAAATTTCACAATCTATATAGTTAAAACAAAACATATTTTAGGAGTTAGAAATCATAATAAATTTCAGACCATTATAAAAAAACTTAGTATAAATTAGTTAAGTAACTTACAATTAGATTAATAGATGGCTTAACATATTTAATATCAATCAAAATACTGGAAATAAGATTTTCAATAAACATTTCAAGTGAACTCTGAGAGCCAGCAACTGACATCCATGCAAGCAATACTTTATAACTTAACAATCGTTGTTCCCTGAAAAGAATACACAAAATCATTTAATGAAAATAAACAATAAATAAATAATTTTAATTATATACAGTGTAATTTTTGAAAAATGATACCACCAATTTTTTGTTAATTATTGATTTTTTCATAAAAATATACAAAGTCATATTTGATTTGTTTTTATAAATTATTGTAAATATCAAGTTCATTGTAACACAAAATATTACTATGAGTAGATTTCAGGAGTAACTTTCAAAATTTAATGTTCAAGAGGTCTGATAATTTTAATATATAAAATTAAGTCTTTTGAAATGTGCTATAATATAAAAAAAAAAATGCCCCAATGTTTGTTTTACTATATGAAATTAGCTGTAATAGAAAATAAATAACATTATTTTCAATTAAAAAAATAATTTATCAAGCATTAATATTTTAATAAAATTTTAAATCATAGAAAATGTAAAATTAAAAATACATTAATTATGAAATTTAACAGATATGTATCCATGTGTGTTTTAATGATAGTGATGTTAATTTCTGTCAAATATGTGCAAAGTATTTTTTATTATTATTAAATTAAGAATCATCTAAATAAAAATTTGTTTGTTCAATAACCAGTATTGTATTATTTTTTTAGCTAATGTAATTATTAGTTATAGAGGAGAGGAGTTTGCGCAACATTGAAGAGTTTTTATTTGTGCTTTATGGTAAAAATAGGGAGTTGCTAAACACTACCCTGCTACTTACTTTTTTTAAACCTTAAAATATTAGTATCTCAAAAAGTAATATTGCAAAACTGGTTTACAATCAGTCAAGATTTTACTTAGATCACTCTTTTAATTAGTAAAAAAATAATAGGTTTTCATTGAACTTTCAAAAGTTACCAACCTTTTTAAAATCTACCATTAGAAGTAATTATTTTTTATAATACACTTGACATTTACTATGGTTTATATAAATAAATCAAATTTTAATTTTTTATACTTTCATGAAAAAATTATTATCTAATAAAAAAATGGGAGGCATCTTTCTTAAAAAAACGCACTGTATATTGGACTAAATTAAAATCACAAAATTTTAAAATAATAATTTCACATACTGTGATAACTGTCAAAAATTTAGGTAAATGTAATCAATTATATAATTTCTACTGTGTAAATATAATAAATGAATATCTAATCACTGAATAATACTAAGACAGTTATTCTGCTATATAAATAATTTTTCAATTACTTTTCCCAAACTAGAATTATTTATTTAAAAATAAATTGAATTATCCCGGCTTTTTACTTACACATTTGATTTATTTGTACCATAAATCCATTGATTGTTTTGAATATTAGTAGTATTAAGTGATTGTATCAAAAATCGACAAATTGATACACCTTGTGGTATTAAAATACGGCCACAACTAAAATGTATAATGGATTATTATTAAATTGTTTTACGACCTCATATCTATACTCTATAATAATACAAATTAAAAATATTTATTACATTATAACTATTTAAAAACAAGTAGACTTAAACAAATTTACTCATACAGACTTTTAATTAAAAGGTAGGCTAAAAAACTTGGTTGGGTTGGGTTTATGTGTATAAGACACATAGGTATTGAGGTCAGTTACAAGAGATCAATTCAGTTGTGCTAAGTTCTATAGGTTTTCATTTTCCATTACAGAAAATTATTAAATATGTAAAAGAATCTAATTTCTAAATTTAATATTTTTTAATTTAACACCCAAGATATAAAAAAAAAATTGTTTTCAAAAATTATTATTTAGTAAGGAAGTTAATTTCAGTTATTTATTATCATATCACGACATATAATAAGAATTATATTTCATATGATTGTAATTATAGCTAAGACTCAGGTCTTCAAGCATGTTAAAGTCATACAATCACATTAATAATAAATAAATATTTTAATCTGTTGTTTTAACATTTAAGAATGTATATTAATTATTATTTAGTTATGGGTGGCATAGTGGATCATTAACCCAGGATCAAAAAAATGTTTTATTACTATTTTATACACATGAGATAAATTTTCATAGACTTTGGTCTTAAAAGTAGCTTAAACACTTGAATTCCTTGCTGATTATAGCATTTCATAACTAATGTAAGTACATACCATTTTATTAATGCTAAAATGGTTTTCATAGCAGAACAATGCAACTTGTATAAAACATTTTCTAATGCTAAAATATCTTCTGTGACTGATAAAGATTTCAATTTTTCTGAAGACACTGATATAACACTTAAAGAAAATTGAATAACTTTGTTTGCATCAAATTTTTTCACATTTGAAAACATAGATCTAAAAAAAAAAAAAAAAGAATTTGAATATGATTAAAAAAGTTATTGTTAAGCCATACAAAAGCATAGATTGAAGAGCAGTATTAAAAAACTCAAAAATTGTTGTTAATCGTTGATAACGTTCTTTAGGAGACATTTGTTCAAGCTGGGATATATTAAAACATGATATATCAAATTTTCCTTCATATTTATCATTTGGATACAGTCTAATAAAAAACTGTAAAAATAAAAATAATTATTAACAAGCATAATTTTAATATAATCTTAATTTAAAATTTAAAATTATTTAACTCAAAAAACCACAAAAATTACTAAAAAATTGTGAATACTTATTTCAAAGCTAAATATATAACAGTATGTTATTACACTGATGATGATAACATTGTTCTTTAAATATGTATATTAGATTTTGTTAGTAATTATTGTTTCTTTTTATGTTTAATAACTTTTTATATTTTTTGTTTTAAATTAATATTTCAAATACATTTTAAAATTTAAATAATGTTAACCATAATTGTGACTAATAATACTGTGGTACAGTTCTAATTACTTAATTAAAAAATAAATTATATTTAGTGGTATGACCAGGGAATGATGTTTAAGCTTTTGTAAAAGATGAGACAAGTTGAGATCAATCTTTTTTAGATTCAATAGCTTAACTGTTTTCCCATAACATCATAATATAACCACAAATTTTATAATGAATCAAGACAATTTTAGGATGGAGCCGATATCTATATTAGTTTTAATTTTTATTTTATATTAGTAAATAAATCTAAAAAAACATATTTATAGACCCTAAATTTTTAATTTCTAAATGTGTAGATTAATTAGTATATCTTAGTTTTCTTTTCAATATTGGGAATTAAAATTATTTTTATAATAAAATAAAATACTTACATCTACATTTGAATATAACTGATGTAAAAAGTAATTGGCACAATACAAAAAGTCATTAAACTGATTAGTCCATGCCTCTATATGAAGAGAACCTTGTTGTCCACGACCACCACATTGGGGATATAGTGCTAGATATTTTGTAAGTTTTACCATAATCTTATTGTCATTAGAATATTCACTTATAATTTTGAAAGTAAACTTCTCTAATATATTCTGAAAACGTATGTTAAATTTTTTTATTTTTTCAAAACACTACTTGAATAACATAATTATAAAAGTGGTTTAATCACTATTTTTTTGAAATCCTTATTTTTAACACATCCACGGTCAGTTACTGTAATAGCAGTAATATATTATTACTTTCATAACAGTAATGCCCCATTATATATATAAAAATGTATGTACTGTGTCGATACTGCTTAGCAGAACAAAAATCATAACTGGTATAGTGGTAATACAAAAATGATTTTATATGGTAGGTACATGAAATATGTGTAGAAATGACATAATCCTGAACGTGTTAATTAATATTTTCTGTGATTAAAAATGTACTTTTGAGTTAAAAAATTTATAATTTAATAAATATTATTAATTGATGATAAAAGCTATTAATTTTTTTTAATAAAAAAATGAATTTCCTTAATTAAAAAAAATTTGCTATTAAAAAAATATATATTATATTATGTGTATTTATATTTTTTTAGTAATATGTTATAAAACAATTTGTCTATTTTCAGCAAATAAATTGTTCTTATTTATGATTTTAAAAGTCATAATAAAATTTAATGGTAATGAAATTTTAACTTATATTTTTCTGGATGTATACTTTAGTTTATGATTCATTAACACATTTTATTAGCCTTTACTTTATTACATAGATAAACTTACCATGGTTACCACACTAGTTTATAATTTTATATCAGTTAGTCATGCATAGAGAATATTAAACTATTGTTACAAAATAAAAGTTTGACATCAAATATCATTGAACGATTAATTGAAAAAATTATGACTCCAATTTGGTGCCAAGACAATTAATGTGTTAATTTTATTTAAGAAAAGAGTTAAGTACTAGATTATTCATGAAAAAGGATCAAAATCTATATATTTAATATTTTACTGTTAGTTAAAACATGAATTTGAAAAATTTTAAAGTTCATAAGAAAATTAGTTTTTTTTAAGTTTTACAATTTGCATTCAACAATTTCATAAATAAATGATTCATTTGTACTAAAATATTCATACAACCTTGAATTGTCCACATGTACTTCCATAATATTTCATGCATAATCTAATGATAGATATTTGAGAGTTAACTATCTATAAATAGTAAAAATATTTAAGACAAATTAATGCAATATGATAATTCTAATATTTAAATTATAAATAAAACTTACAGTTTCATTAGTACTAGAAGATGCTAAATTTTCAAAAAATTTGGGCAAAACTGAACTAGTTAGTTGTTTTTTTATATCTACATCTGTAATAGTTGATGTAATAAAAACCTCTAAAAAATAAAATAATTATTGTGCTTATTTAAAAAATTAGAAGATTTCATATGAAATCTTCAAAAATGTTTAGATAATAATGATATTAATAATACATGATTTCTAAAAATATATATAATTTAATCCTAAATCATACTTAACTAATCAAATGTATCTATAGTGTATAAAAAATTAAATACTTAAAGTAAAATAAAAATTATCCCTAATTGCAGAAAACAGTATAAATTAATATTTTGACAATTTAATTATTAGTTCGGTTTTTTGAATTAGGTTTATCAATTTTAATAAAGTTATATTTTAGGTTTTACTACTAATCAAGTATTGTAAATATGCAAATAAATATTAATTAGTAAAATATACTACGAGTATAAAAAATTAATTTAATTAAAATTAAATACTGATTATACAAATGTAATATAAATCAAAAGTTTCATATAAATTAAAAACAAACTTTCAATATTGACAGTTAAATATTAGGATGCAATTTAATAGATTTTTAAGATTTAACAAGTTGTGTATTTTCTGAACTATCACAATTTTAACAGATTAAGAAAAAAATATGACAGTTCAAAAATATTAAGCCTTCTAAAATTAATTGTAGGTTTGAGTATTTTAAATTTAATGAATAAAAAATTCAAAATAAATTAAATAAATCTACTTAGTTTAAAATGTTTAAAAAAAATAGTTTTTACCTAACAAATTATAATCTCCAGTCGATAAACCATAAATAATACAATTTTTCAGATTTTTCTGAAACCAATTAACTGCTTCATTTGCCTATTAAAAATCAAATATTTATTTTATTAAACAAGTAAAATAATTGGGAAGTATTAAATTAATTTAAACCTTTAACGAAGCTATTTTAGAATCCATAACGAATAGTTAATATAATAAGATAATTAGAATTACAATTCATAAATAATTATAAAAAAAAAGAAAAGATGTGTTAAAACATGTAAATTAAATTTGTAATTCACATGGTACTTTTATTATCACTAGATATGTATTCAAAACTTAAATGATAACAATTAATATCGTTTGATAATAATATCATATATATTTTCCAAGGAGTATGTATTTTTAAGTCAATTTTTTTTGGAAAAGCACCTTTGCCACGAACTGATAATGCTCCGACATTTGACAAAGTAGTAATTGTTACGAACATCTGGTACTCTGACCATCTGATACCATAGGTTACCAAAATTACAACAGATTTTACTCCGACATTAAATTATAAAAATAAGACAGTAAAAAATCCGACATTATCGATAGTTTGATTATGCATCAAAAGTTATATTATATTTCGATTGTATTATTAGTAATAGGGCGTATCGTCAGGGCCACGTGGCTACAGAAACACTACATTATTAAAATAATTATATTATTATTAATAATATTGTAAAATTTAAATTAAAATGTTCTATTAAATTAGCATTTATTTGCTACTATAGTTATTATACAATAATATACATTTTGCTTATTATTTTCTGGTACAATTTCTCACATTTGACAAATGTTATTAAAACTCAAATGATAATAGTCATTCATTAAGTAACATAAAATTAATAGTGTTTAATACAAATGTACATTTTTGAAAAAATTTTCTCCATTATTAGAATATATATTTATCTTTGAGAATTTTTTTTTTTAATTATCCAATAATTACAAAATATTTTCATCAAATCAAAAAACTGTTAGTTAACTGTTTTTTCAGTTGATCCGCAAAATTTTATCTAACCGTAACTTATTTTTTAACATCTAAGAGATCCATTTGAAAACTAATTTTTCTATAACAAATATGTGCTGTAAAAATTGTCATGTGCAATTTTATTAGTGATTAATTCCTAAGTGTGTAATATTAAAAAATAATGACTAATATAAACATAAAATTATTAATATTTGTACAATATAAAATTGAGTGTTTTATGTCCAATTTGATAATATGGATAAGTGACTTCGGGAAGAGTTAAAATAATATCTTATTATCCAATAATTTTGGATGTAATGTAATAGGACCTCAAGATTAAAAAAGAAATTTCTTCCATGTGTTCCTCATCATTCTTGGGGATGACTGAATTTTTTCCTGTGCTGTATTACGATATCTAAGTATAAAATAACACAGTATATCCAACTTCAATGCAGTAATTGTTGAACACATTTTTTTTAGTCTTATTACTTTCTGGAAGTTTCTTCCAATAGGTTTGTGTTGACTCAGTAGATTATGATTAATTTTTCTTTCAGCAATTTTAATTGAAAATTAATTACAAAAATTATTTTTAACTTATATTAAAAAGAATTAAAATAATATTAAACTGTGTAAGTTTTGATATAAGTTCTAATATGAGTTATGCTAAGAATTAGTAAGTTTTGGTTATATATAAGTAGAATTAATTTTTTCTTATTTAAAAATTCTGTGTGTCATCTAAAAGTAAAAATATATTAACTCGTCGTTAAACAATTTTAATTTTGTGACATGAGTTTTATAATCAATTATTAGTAAAACCATTATAATCTCCAGTAGTGCTCAAGAAAAGTTAAAAATATTAAGGAGTAAAAAATTATTCATTTAAAGTTCTTTTTCTTTAAAATCTAATATACATTTATTGAAATCAGTTTGGTATTTCCTTGAAAAAAATATCTGAATAGCCTTTCCTTTTTTTAACAATAATTAAATTTGATGGACAATTTTCTCAGTGGTCCAGTGAGAAAAAAAATCTTAAATTTAATGAGGGCCTTCTGAGCCAGGCCGACACTGCGAAAAGATGATTATTTTGCCAATGTTTTCATCTCGTTAGCTTAACATGTATCCTGCAAATACAAATGTATTATTCTAAAAATACAAAATGTAGTTTTTTTAAAAATTTGAATTCATTTTATATGTACTTTTTAGAATGTGAAAGCATATTCCTAAAAAATAAAAATTAATTTTCAAAATAAAATCACGTAATATAATGTATTATGTTTTGTAAAAATTTAATTTTATAAATATCTGTCCTATAAAAAAAGTTGTACAGTTTCAATATTACATTATTATACTTGATTTCCATTTAATGAGAAAAAATGAATAATTGTTTGAATATCAATTNTTCCATTTAATGAGAAAAAATGAATAATTGTTTGATTATCAATCATGATTATAAATTAAAATATTTAACTCTATACGTATATTTGACAAAACTTCAAATAATCATAATGCAAATGAAAAAAAACTGAACCATTATTTAATGAATTGACTGCATATTTTTAATCGAGTTAGTTAAGTTTAAAACCAATTTACTTAGCAGAAGATTTTTGTAAGTTTATGATAAATCATAAACTATTGTCCACTGTTAACTTATAACTGCCTTGTGTTTACTTAATTTGACTAGAGCGTAGGAGTATTGCAACAAAATATTTGGGAACTCTAATTACATAATTTTTTTCCTAATCTAAAAAATATTTCTTTACAACAAGAAATACAAATTAATTTATTTTCGGTATATTCTATGTCAGAATTTTAGAAGACAAAGCCCCCTCAAGTCTCTCCAGATTGCGGTCAAATCCAAACTGGACTGAATTAATTTCGTTACCCACCTTTGAACAATGAAATGATATTAAATCATATTTTTGTTTGATTTCATATGAAACTAATTGTAATGACAGTTTTAGAGAATGGGATACCGAATATCTTTATAAACGCATCTGTTTAATAACGAATACTATCATCATAAAAACGTACCTCTATATTTTTTAACTAAACTAATTGAATGTTATAATATTAATGTGCTTACAATGTTATAATAAGCACTAATAAGGAGAGGTAAAAAAGATTTTACGTCTGAAAATTGGAATCGCTCTTCTTTCCCCTCCAAAAAAAAATTTAAGGGCTCACACCAGTTATGTTACCTTTATGTACCTATTTTATCAAAAGTCGGATACATTTCGGGGATCTTTATTGTAATAATTATTCGTTAATAGACAGTAATCAATTATAACGCTATTTTATTATATTAATTAGTGATAAGGGTTATATTTTTCCATCAGATAATATATTGCTACGATATTCATCTACTCCGAAATTTGATAATTTTTTTATCGATTTCGCGAATAATCGATATTCGGAGCTAATTTCATTCGGAGCAATCAATTAATATTCCTATTCGGAGTATTTATCGACGTAGTAAAATCCAAATTTTTGTAACCAGGTATTCGTAGTAATTGTTGTCGGAGTAAATGTATTCGGAGGATTTTTATACATTGTCGGAGTAAATGAATGTCGGGGCATCATCAGTTCGTGGCAATCTCCGTAACTCATTTTTTCTATTATAATATATTAGGGTTCAATAACGATAAATTTTAGGTTATCAATAACGTACCAAATTTCAGCGATATTATATCGCAAAATACGGATATCGTACGAAAAGATAAATCAATATCAAAAAAAAATTATATTCAAAAATTAAATTTAATATTTAAAAGTTTTCACCTTTTTTTTTATTTTCAAGTATATGGTCAAATTAGCTTGTAACATTATTATAAAGATCATACTATGATATTCTAACCAAATTAGATAATGATATAAATATAAAAAAAATACAACACAGTAGGGACGTGGCATAACTGGTAAAGTGTAGTGATATCTGACAGAGATTAAAATCACAATCAAATAAAACGCTTCGATGCAAATCTGTAGATAGAGTTTAATTTTAAGAAATTGGTAGATTATTTCAAAATTAGTTATTTGATTAATAACAATAATACAAGGATAAATAATAATTATAGTAATTAAATTAAGTATGAAATTTTTACGGAGATATTATAAAAATAATAAAGTAGTACTTTTCTAAATCAACTTTTTGCGCTGTTTTCAAATGTACAATTAGACTTTTTCTATCACTCCAAAGTTTTGATATTATTACTTATTATTAAAATATAAGTATTTATATAGAAAAAATAATCAAGAACAAAAAAAATTGTTTTAAATTAATACTGATTTTGATTTTTATTATGTTAAAAATAAGGAAAATGACATAGTAACCTATTTTTTTAAACCTTAAAAGTTAATTTTTGAGAAAGTTTATACCAAAAATAAATAGAATTTTTTACCAAAATTTACATTATTAAGTACAAAATTTTATGAGAAATAAAAAAGTTGTATTTTTAGCTTCGATGCGAAGCTGAGAAGATATTAATTTTACTATGATGTGTTTTTTTTTTTTTTATGTCTGTTGTCACTTTTTCTCAGCTTTCACTGGACAGATTTCTTTCAAAAATACGTCAAAAGATCACAAATCGTATCTAGTTGAAGACATTACCTTTAAAAATTGAAAAAAATTCCCTCANAAGACATTACCCTTAAAAATTGAAAAAAATTCCCTCGTTCCCCGCAAATGGGGGAAATATCCAAAAAAATTACAAATTTAAAAATCGCTAATTTTCGAAATTTTTTCACTTTTTTTTCTTAAAACTTCCATAACTTTTTGAAAAATCAACAAATCAACATAATTTTTTTTTATACTAAAACGTTAGATGTCTACCTTTCATTTGATATCATTTTTTTCAAATCTAACATTTAACCTGCTCATTGGGGGGGATTTAAAATAGCAACTTTTTTACAAAAACTAACTTTTTCAACTTAATTTTTGAAAATGTTCCGGAAATACTGCGTCCTTTAAACAAATATCAAATTAAAGCTTATTTTATGTAATATAAAATGAAAAAAAAAAAATTTGTCCCGACGACCTATCTTCTATGCGCAAATGGCTACCATATTAATAATATGCTATTTTAACAAATTTTTTTTTTAATTAAACACTATCTACAGATTTGCATCGAAGCGTTTTTTATGATAGTGATTTTAATCACTGTCAGATATCATCTATACTGGACCCAACTATGCCACGACCACACTGTGCTAAGGTTTTTTTTCTCATTAGACCACTTAAGAAATTATTTTAGTGATCATTAAGAAAATTTTCCTCCGGGACTTCCAGGTTCAGATTGATACTGTCCTCTAATTGAGAACGATTAGATCTTGGAACAAAAACAACACACGAAAACAATGTCAAAAAAAAAGTTTTTACATTTTGACTATTTTCTTATTATATCTTACTATATAGTACCTATATAGGATCACCTATATTATAGGTGATCGGGTTAAGGTGAAAAATATCCAGCACAGTGGGGACGCGGCATAATTGTCAAAAATATATATATCTGACAATGATTAAGATCACTATCGTAAAAAACGCTTCCAAGTAAATCTTTAAATAGTACTTAATTTTTAGATGAAAATAATGTAAAATTTTTTGAGCTTCATTAAATTGTATGTTACTAACAAATTTATTTTATGTACTTTTGATTATTTGAAAAAAATTTTGTAAGATTACTTTATAAAAATGTAAAAATTAAAATTAATTTTCTAAAATTATTGTAAGTACATAGAGTGTCTCAGATTTATCAAATAACGCTTATAACTTTTGATATAATTATAATTGTATTGAAATTCTTTTCAAAATAATAATAGCTTTATTAGACTAAGTCTGAAGCATATGCTTTATTATTTGTTACTAAAAATAATAATTAATAAAAATTTACTTTTTTTTTTCAAAATGTATAAATGCCCATTTTTTACAAAAAATGTTGATTGGTCGATAACAATTTTAGGACAAGTACTACTACAGTTACTTTGAGACCCTATAGAGTGGGTATGGAACACGGGTGGAGTATATGTACATTAATACGAGCTTTACCCACCCTCCTTATTATCTACTCTAAGTATTAAAATACTTGTAACACAATGAGTATTAGTCCTAAAATTGATATCGATCCATCAAAATTTTTTGTAAGACAATTGTTAAAAAATGGCTATTCTGAAATGTTAAAAAAAATGTGCTTTAAACATAATATAAGAAGGCAATAATTAATTTGTAAAAATTTAATAAAATGATAATTGTATTAAAAGTTATAAGCGTTGTTATTCAGTTTTGAGGCAATCTAAATATTATTAGTTAAAAGTATATTTTTTAATGTACCTCGAAATCATACATAAATATAAAATTTTTCTGTTTTTTCCTAAATGTTATTATTTATATCTTTGGTTATCATCTTCTATTTTTGGCCTGTATTTAAAAAATTGGTGTTTTTAAATGTTTAATTTTTATTTTTAGAATAGTATATTTGAATAAAAAGATTTATTGATTTAGTTGTAATGTTTTAAATTTAATGTAATGTAATTAATGTAATATTATATAGTATTATTAATCATATAAAAATAGCAAGGAATGTGCTCATTGGAGGTGTGAAGGCAAAGTCCCCCACGCTATATTTATATGACAAAATATTAGACCCCTTCCAAAAAAAATCGCCTCATATCCGCTTATGCATAATACGCATCGAAGTTTTTTACTTGTAATTTTAACTACTCTCAAATATTAATTAATACTTAACTAAAAAAATGTTTTAACTTCATTACGCTGATTCCCAACTGTACTTTTTGGTATATTAAATTAATATCGATCTGGTTGTTATTTGCGTGTAAAATTTGATTTTAGTGCAAGATATTATTGTATAATGACTCATAAAACTGTATTTTTTTCAGGGACGGATCCTGAATTTTTTCAAAGAAGGGTGAAATAAAATTCTTTCGAGGCACCTGCAAAATACTTCATTGAAAATAAAAAAAAAATCAAAACTGATAATTTGGTTTAATTGGTGAAATAAATCATTTAAATACTTTTAAATAATATTTACCAACTTTTTACCACTATGCTTTAGACTAATAATATACATTAGTAGTCTGCAACATATATAAAATATTGAAAGATATCCCACTCAATTTTTTACTTGTTGTTAAGAAAAACAAAATATCTATTCAAAAAAATTAATTAATGAAAACTGTAAAATATTTAACTACCCTAAGTTTAATCACCACTCCAAGGATGTTCATTTGTCGGTAATCTTTATTATCGAAAATTTCAATTTTCTTCAAGAATTTAAAAACAGTTTGTTGATATATCCTACTTAATATTATCTCCACAAGTTTAAATAAAAATTTACAAAACTTTAACTCGTCACTACACTAGTTTTCTTATAATATGAAGAATTGAGTCTAGTCATACCGTATTTCGACCAAGATAAATATGGAAACTTCCTTGACTCAACATTTTAGAGAGCCATTTTGATGTATCAGCAAGTATTCTATTATTAGTTTATATTTGATTAAATACTAAAATTTGATAGTTGGATGGGAACTTTGTCTCGATTTAAAGTCAAGCTTTATTTATTTATCATCCCCATGATAAAAATATATCTCCCTCTATAACACAATCTTCGCCAAATCCCTGTATAATAATATAAGCTGAAAGTACTTAAAACTTCTTTCAGAATAACATTTCATAATATTTTAAAAGGAAAATTAATATTTACTCTTGATATTATAATAAAACTTAAAATATTGAATTTTACTCGATATGAAAAAAGTGAAATTTGTAGTAATTAAATAATTTATTTATATATATTTATAACGATTAAAGATCCAATTTATTAACATGAATTAATAATTGTCATTTAAATTTTTTTCAGTTACTGCGTACAATTACCAGATAACACAGCATTTTTAAAAACAAAAATAATAATTCTAATTTCATTGTCTGCGATTCGCAACTCACAATTCATTGTTTGCATGGTCGCCTGACGTTGCCAAAAAAATACAAAGACCCTCGGAACTGTCATGTTTTCTGCGGTATCATAAAAAGCGCCATCTATAAACACATAAATAAAATATTTGCATTGTGTATGTAAGTATGCGCTTGTAATTTGTATATATTTTATGTTTGTGTGGGTAGTTATATGCTGGGTAATTTGTCGGTCTAACTACATGATTATGGCACTTTAATATAAAAAACAAATTTTTAGATATTCTTAACTCTAATGGTTTTATAAAAATATGAATGATTACTTAAAAATTTCATGTCTTTAGTTGTCATATGTATATTTTTCAAATCATTTGTGATTTCTGTTTATAAATTTTGAAAAAATCAAAATTTAAAGCCGGTATGTTAAACTAAGCATTCTCAGCTTTTCAACACATTCTAAGTATGCTAAATTTTAGCTGCTAATTTTAGTGGTGTGTTTAAAATGTCTTATCAATTTCACTACTATGTGTTCACTATGTCATTAATTTTAGATTTTTTTAGTCAAGATGATGGATTCACCGACCACCCCACCAGGTTATATGTCTGAAGATGGTGACAACAATGAATCTCATAGTAAGTAATAAAGTACAGTTCTATTATTCTTAGTATTATATATCCTTGTGTTACAGGTATGAGCCCTAATCCTACGGTAATGGGGGTTCTTGATACTCAACCTGTTCTTTATTGTGAGCCTGTATTTTGGTGTTCAATAAGTTATTATGAGCTCAACACAAGAGTAGGCGAAACATTTCATGCATCTCAACCTTCTATATCTGTTGATGGTTTTACAGGTATATTATGATGTTTGATAAACTAAAATAATCAGTATTCATTTCCTTAATATTCATAAACTTTAGATCCCAGCAATTCAGAAAGATTTTGCTTAGGTCTTCTATCTAATGTTAATAGAACTACTGTAGTTGAACAAATCAGACGACATATAGGAAAAGGTGTTCGGCTTTATTATATCGGTGGTGAAGTTTTTGCTGAATGTTTAAGTGATTCTAGTATATTTGTTCAATCTCCAAATTGTAATCAAAGATATGGCTGGCACCCAGCTACTGTTTGTAAAATACCTCCAGGTAAAATTTGATCATAGTTTACTGTTTCAAGCATTCTATTATTTTTAACAATAGTAATCATAGTTATAATCAAAATTTAAATTTGGTATTATTTTTTAAAACTAGTTATTTATTTATTACACAAATTTGCAAACAAAACAGCATAAAATAACAACATTTAATATGAAAAATCTATAATTAAATAGTTCAATAATAAAGTAATAATTACCTTTGTGTTGTGGTGTATTTACAAGAGGGCAACTGCTTATCTAACTATGTATTCAAAAACAACTTCTTTATAAAAAAGGAGTATATAGTCTTAATTTGAGTTGTCAATTCAAACAAAAAATAAAAACCCAGCACAGGGGGGTCGCGGCACAGTGGTGACGTGACATATTTGGATCAAGTATAATGATATCTGACAGTGATTAAAATCACTATCATAAAAAACGCTTCGATGCAAATCTTTAGATAGTGTTTAATTTTAAAAAATAGGTGGATTATTCCAAAAGCAACATGATCTGCTAGTTCGTTATTAATATCCTGATTCAGATAAAGTATGTCGAATGAAAGATCTATATAAATACTACTTCTCATAAAAAAATTGTAATGATCCATACATTTTTCAAAAAGTTATAGCATAATAAAGTTAAAAATGTAAAATACAAAATCGAAAATTTTCACACAAAAATAGCATTCGTTGCCATTTTCACCCTGAAGATAAAATAAAGTCCGAAATTTTTTTTTTCATGATAAAGTATATTACATTAGCTTTAATTTAAGATATATATAAAAGTGTCAGACCTTCCGGAATACTTACAAAAGTTAAGTTGAAAAAATTAATTTTTTGTAAAAAAGTTGTCATTTTAAATCCCCCCCTGTGGGCAGGTAAAAAGTCAGATTTATAAAAAAAATATACCAAATGATAGGTAGTGACATCATGCATCTATAAAAAAAATAATTATATTGATATGTTTATTTTTAAAAAAGTTACGGCAGTTTTTAGAAAAAAAAATTTCGAAAATTTGCGATTTTTAAATTTGTAATTTTTTCGGAGGTTTCCCCCATTTACGGGGAACGAGGGAATTTTTTTCAATTTTTGAGGGTAATGTCTTCGACTAGATACAATTTGTAATATTTTGACGTATCATTGAAAGAAATCGGTTCGGTGAGAGCTGAGAAAAAGTGGTAACAGACACAAAAAAAAAA